CTTGTACACCCGAGCGTTGTAGCCAATACCAAAAAAGTCCAGTGCAACGACCTGTCCCGAGGGCACACTGAGTGGCACAACCCCACCCTGTCGGCTCGGGACCTGGAGAACTGTATCTTCGACTGGTCGACGCATGAGTACGTGCGCGGTAGCTGTAATGGACATGAGCAATAATGTCAGTCTTGATGCTGATAGGGACTAACGATACATCCGCAGAGCTTCCTGGAAACAGCCTTGCACGAACGGTAACTTCTCGAAATCATCCAAGGTCTGTGCGCAATTAGGAGGACATATGGCGAAGAGCTCAGCTGCTTACAGGATCGCTGCCTTCTTTGATGACGGACATGATCTCATCATATGCGTGTTGCTGCACCTCCGGGTTACAAGCGAGCTCACCCAATGTGGCTGCCAGCGATTTGCTCGTGGTTTCTACAGGGACAGTGAACATTTGGTGTCATGCGGAGACAGGAGAGTAGACGAACCATGACCAGCCAACAGCAAGAGGAACACGTTGCTAACGAGCTCGCGATCGGAAAGTGCGCCTTTGCTGCCCTTTTCCAATTCGTTTGCGGCCAAGAGAAGACTGAAGATGTCTTTATCCTCGCTAGTATTACCGAATCCTTCTACTCGACGCTTGTCGATAATCCCTTTAAATATCGTCTCTAGGATATTGCTAGCATTGTAGAGGCGGCGTAGGCTAGAGGAGATGTCAGCTCATCTGCGGTGTTACGATGGCTTGTGGCAGCAACTGACGCGGGGATTGGTAAACTGTATGTCCAATGGGACAGGAAGGACAAGATAAGCACCGAACTACTGGTGATCTCAAAGCACTCTGGGAGCGACATGCCTCTGATCCGCTCGCCAACGTCTTCATTCCAAGATAGATCAATACCGAATCCGCATTTTGCGATGAGATACAGGGCGAACTGATCGACACATCGTCAAATCGGATAAGTGAGAATAAGCGCTTTGTCCCACCGTACCTTTGAAGTAACCGCTGTCACATCAGGCATTATGAATTCCCGCTCGTTCTCCCACTTCTCAGTAGTAAGGAAGTCATAGTAAGTTTTCTTCGTTTCCGTCCATACAGAAGAGTATAGGCGTCCATTGAAACCAGGAGACATGGCTGTTTGGTGACGAGGCCATTCAGCGCTCATGGTCGCGAACACATTTGGACCGAAGGGACTGAGACTCTGCACGCTTTCCTTGAGTTTATCAAAAGGGGCCTTATTTCCCAATAGTTGCTTGGCAACTTCCGGAGAATTGGCGTACAGGATAGGCTCCCCGTTGAGCAGGCCGATCTGTGATGCCATTTCCATCGGGGAGTCGTTGTAAAACCGATCCCGCCATCTCCAGCCGAAGAGCATGCCTGGGTTCCATTCGGAAGAAGGCAGCATAGCGCCAGGAATGGAGTAGGCAGAGGCGGGGAAAGTGAGACCGGGCACAAACGAAACAGACGAGCCAAAATCGATTAGTCACAACTGCAATTTCAAGGTTGAATAAACACTGCGTACGCGCAGGGCCTTGTAGTAAGAAATCGCACGCTCAATGGCATAGATGAGAGATAGGCCTAGTGTGACGGCCATGAAAGGTTGAAAGGTAGCGAAAGCATGTTGATCCACGTAATTCACCTGCGAGGACACAGTCGAAAGGTGGGTCGTGCATGACCGTGGGCGAACGGTTGGCTTTTATAACCACAACAAGTGGTTGCCTCACATGGATTTAGTCGCGTACTGTAATGGGAGAACCCTGAGTGACCCTGAGCGCACCCGGGCGATATTACTGATCGAAAGGCGATGCCGCTTCTGTCTTATCTTTGCTTTTCTTTTTACAACGCGACCCATGCATTTACTCATATGTATATAAGCGGCTTTCTTACTTTATTACAAGTTTGACGGACTCCATACAATAATTATAATAGCTGCCCGCTGGCAGTTTAACAGAATATCCGCACCTCATCAGTGCGAGAAAAGGACAAAATGACTATGCTCGAACTGATCGACGCGTGAACTTCAGCGGGAAACGCTTGTGTCCGAATCCAAGAGTCGCTTCTACGTGTTCTACCCAAGCTGCATGCAGCCTGCAATACTCTGTCCTCCTTTCAAAACCGGTTCTATCTTGTAGTCCCGGAGGAGCAACGCGAGGAGACAGACGGACTCGACAACAGCAAATTTCTTCCCAATGCACACTCGGGGACGGTATGAGAAATTCAGCAACGGTTCCGTAGCAGGATCGAGCCAACGGGCAGGATTGAACGACTTCGGGTCCTTATACACACGGGGGTTGTAGCCCATGCCGACGATGTCTAGTGTGACCACTTGACCGGCAGGTACTCTGATCGGCACAACCCCACCACCCTGCCGACTCGGCACCTGAAGAACTGTATCTTCAGTTGGCGCCCGCGTGAACATGTGAGCGCTTGCTGTCAGATCCGTGAGTTTCAACAGCTCACTCTTCAGCTTCGAAATCACGTACGATACACCCGCAATCCTTCCTGGAAACAGCCTTGCACGAACGGCAATCGCTCAATCATCGTACGTCTTCGCGGGAAGATGTCAGAGGGACAATCCATGAGAGATCTTAACTGCTTACTGGGTCGTTATTGTCTTTGATCACAGACATGACTTCCTCATGTGCCCGTTGCTGTATCATGGGGTTACAGGCTAGTCGCCCAACGTAGCGGCGAACGCTTTGCTCGTGGTTTCTAGAAGTCATTGAATAATTACTCAGTTCGATAAAGAGACAGCAGAGACGAACCATGGCCAGCCAGAAGCAAGAGAAACACGTTACTAATGAGCTCTGGATCAGAGAGGGCACCTTTACTGCCCTTCTCCAACTCATTTGCGGCTAAGAGAAGACTGAAGATGTCCTTGTCTTGGCTTGTGTCACCGAATCCTTCTGTTCGACGTTTATCTATGATCCCTTGCAATATCCCCTCTAGGGCTTTGCTCGCATCGTAGAGGCGGCGAAGACTGCAGGAAGGGTCAGTTCATGCAGAGCTTGGATGGTAGACTCCAATGTCAACTCACGGCGGAATTGGCAGACGGAATGACCAGCTGGGCAAGAAGCACAATAGGATCACAGAGCCACTGGTGACCGCGAAGCACTCGGGAAGGGACATGCCCCCCAACGCGTTCGCCAACGTCTTCATTCCAAGAGAGACGGGTGCCAAATCCGCATTTTGCGATGAGATACAGCGCGAACTGAAAGGCTAAGCTCAAATTCTGGTAGGAAAGGACGTGTGGCAGGTCGTACCTTGGAGGTGACCGCCGTCACCTCGCTCATTCTCCCACTTCTCGGTTGCAAGGCAGTCATAGTAAGTGTTCCTTGTTTCGGTCCACACAGAGGCATACAATTGGCCGTGGAACCCAGGGGAAACGGCTTTCCTGTGCCGAGGCCACTCGTGGCGCGTCGTGGCGAACACATTCGGGCCAAGCGGACTCACACTTTGCACGCTCTCGCGCAGCTTGTCCCAAGGTGCCTTGTATGCTAAGATTTGCTTGACGACTTCCGGTGAGTTGGTATACATCATGGGCCGCCCGACGAACAGACCGATCTGTCGAGTCATCTCTATTGGCGAGAGTTTGTAGAACCGATCCCGCCATCTCCAATTGAATGTCAGGCCAAAATTCCATTCATTGGAAAGCAATAGAGAGCCAGGTATGGAGTACATCGAGGCGGGGAAGGTAAGTCCTGGTAGGAAGGAGACATCCTATCGGAATACCGGCCGTCAACAATGGTGAATACCCCTCAACGAAGCTTGCTCACCCGGAGCGCTTTGTAGTATGCAATCGCCCGCTCGATTGCGTAGAGAACAACTAGCCCCAAGATGACCACCGGCCATGATAGGCCGAAAGGCAGCGAAATCATGCTGATCAGTTCAGCTGTGAGGATAGACCGTTGTGCGTTCGGGACTTCCAATATCAGGCGTAAGTGGTTTTATAGTACCCATGAGCTAGCGCCCAAGTTGACAAATTGAATGGGAATTGAATAATATAACAAGCCGCGGGATTGGGCAAGCTAGTGAAACAGACCATCGTGGTTGTGGATCATCGAAATGTATTCTTATTAGACGGCGCCTGAGCTGCGGCGCGCGATGAGTCAAAAGCGACAGAAAATGAGTCTGTAGGCTCCCTTCCCGTTTTGGGATATAATTGAAAGTGCGTTCAAGACCGGAATCCGTAATTAATATCGCGAATGCGAGCTTAGCGATTGATTTTGGAAATGATTGGTGACTGGATCAATGGCCGATGGACTTGGTGTTTGATATGGTCGTGCATGTGTAGGCTCTTCGCTCGTTTCAAGTTCCTTTGCTTGGAGACTCGCCTGCCCGCTACCGTCATTTGAGGGAGCATCAGCACCGAATATTGGCATAGAAATATGGTAAGCGCCCAATATTGAGTTCATGTGGTAGAGAAAGACACATCAAAAGCACTTGGAGATGGTGGAAAATGATAACCAAAGAACACGGAAGCGGTAGCCAAACGCGTGCACTAGTCCAAATGCTGAAGTTGCTAATTACTCTCCTAGTTCGTCTCCCCTCACGAAGACGTATAACTCACCGATACACCAAGCCCATTGCAGTCGGACCGAGCAGAAAGACTAACAATTGGGATCGGTGAAAGACCTCCAGTCGGGTACACTCCCGAGCTCGATGGCCCTTGCGCCTCTTCTCTCGCTATCATTCAGTTACCCCGCACCGAACTCTCTTTCCCCACATGCCTTCACGTCTCGTATCTGCACACTCTAGCTTACTTCGCAACACGAGGCAGGCTGTTTGGACATGAGAAGTCTCGTGATATTGCTATACCGAGCATATAGCCCTGAGCATATCAGCTGTTGACCGCTCCGACATGAGGACATCAACTTGTTCCTGTTAGGGCATAGCGACCTTTACGACAATACACGCTTACTATAATGGCCCCCGGACCAGAAACGAAGAATAAGATCTTGCGCGTTGGACTTGTTGGGACGGGGAGCGTTGCGCAGGTTATCCACGTACGCCTGCCTTGTAGCTCCGAAATCTCAGCTAACGCACGCATCCGTAAGCTGCCTGTGCTAGCGCTCATGTCGCACCTGTTTAAAGTGCGCCTACCTCCTTCTTCCCAGTCAGTGCTGGAACTAATTAGCGGTTGGATGATTCAGGTGACAGCACTTTGCGATATCTCTGCTCAATCGAGGGCACACAGTGCTCAGAAATGGGGGATCACCAAGACGTACGAATCTAGCAAGGACCTGTGTGCCGACCGGAAGTGGACGTCGTCTTCGTGCTCAATAACGACGAGTATCATGTGCGTCTCTTATTTCACTCCGTGCTATTTATTTCAGACTCCTAATCTTTCGACAGGCCCCAGTCGCGCGGGAAGCGATCGCACAAGGCAAACATGTTTTCATCGAGAAGCCCATGTGTCTCACGCTGGAGGACGCGGACACCATTTCGGCCGCAGCGAACAAAGCGGGCGTCGTCGCGTTTGTAGGCTATATGCGGCGGTACGCGCCTGCGTTACAGCAGGCAATCGACCTTGTGGGCGGGCTTGAGAAGGTCGAATTAGGGATATCATCGGCCCGGTACGTTCCCTTCCTACTATGTATGTAGGAAGATGTTCACATGTGTCTGCCAGAACGCGTTCTTCATTCCCCAATCCGGCACATTTCCATTAGCGTTCACCGACTTCCCTCCTAACGCGCTCACGGCCCGTCAATCGCTTGAAGAGTCTATCTATGCCCGCGCCCTCGGTCCTCGCGCGCAAGACGCGCAGCTCCGTGCCCTCTTGCGATTCCTGGGCGGTCTAGGCGCACACGACCTGAGCGTGATGCGCCAAGTGCTCGGGATGCCTGTCGTGCCCTGGCGGCGCACACGCGCATCCCTAAGAGCAGGTTTGTGAGCGCGATGTTTGATTATGGGAGTTTTGTTTGCACGTATGAGACTGGTGTGGACCAGGTGGGGAGATTCGACGCGTGCGTCGAGGTGTTTGGGGGGGATAAGAGGGTTAAGCTGGATTATGATACGCGTACGTGTTATGCCTTGGGTGGTGGTAGGACTGACCTTTCTCGTGCAGCGTTCATCAAAGGTCTCCCTATCCACATTATCGTCTCCCAGAACATTGGAGCAGAAGATCATACCCACGTTTGAAGATCCGTACACGCTCGAGATGAAGGAACTGTGGGATGCGATCGTGGAGGGGAAGGAGTTTAAGAGCACGGTAGAGGACGCGAGGAAGGAAGTGGAGATTTGGGCGATGATCGTGGATGCGTTGCCTAAGCAGCAGTGAGATATTGAAGAGACTAAAGTGTACATGGAATGTGTCTGTTTTGGAAAGTCTCTTTGTTGGTTGTATTTGTGTTTTTAACCTGCACGTTTGATTTGGTCCGCGCACTACGCTCCTGCACGTGTGGTTCTCTGTCAGTGTGACACGCCATTCGTTCTTCTCAACAAGAGCGCCCGTTATTTGTTGTCCCTTCGGAGTTGCGGATAAACTATGATGAAACGTGTTGACGGGCGCTTCTTTTCAATGCGACGACTTCCACGTCGTTCATTGCTCATCAATTGCTCAAGGGTCCACCGCGTCGTCAACAATAATATCACTGTCGACGTCGGCCGTGTCCTTGCCATCGTCCACCATAACGAACGAGGATGCCACCCCCACGCAGACTCCCACGTCTACTCACCATCTCCCTCCTCCCTCTTTCCCTCGCCCTCATCCTCCGCCCTCTCCTCAAGCTGCCTTCCTCACTCGCCCTCCCAGCCCTGGAGACAAACCTCGGCTTTGCTATCCTCGCTTTTGTCGCTGTGGTACACTTGATACCTGCGCTAGGAGAGAACTTTATCAAGGCTGGGTTGAAAGGGAGGGACATGTTGAAGACGTATGATGATCCTATGTGTGTACTTCCTTGCCCAGATGTCGCGTTTGAGCTCACTAGATGCAGACCAGAATGTCAAGGGCTCATCTGCGCAGCGGTGTACATCACCCTACTCACGCTGTTCATCCCGTTCCCCTTCTCGAGTTTCTTCGCAAGGGATAGAGACACGAGCTTAGCCGGTCTTGCAAAGGGAGACTTCCCCCATCAGCAGGTGCGTCACCTCTTCCCATCTCCGTTACAAGCTCACACCTCGACGAGCAGCTCGCAACATACCTCTCCGCTCTCCTCTCCTTCCTCGCTGCTACCATGCTCGGTCTACTAGACGACCTTTTCGATATCCGCTGGCGGTACAAGCTTCCCATCCCTATTATCGCCTCTATCCCCCTGCTTATGGTGTACTACGCCGAGCAAGGGCTCACAACAGTAGTGCTACCTATCCCGTTACGGCCGTTCTTCGGTACGATTGTCCAGCTTGGTACGTCTCCGCCCTCATACCTCCCCTCCGGCAAAGGCCGAGCTCCGAGTGCAGCTGATCTCCCACAGGCCCCCTGTACTACGTCTACATGTCTCTCCTCTCGACCTTCTGCACGAACGCGATAAACATCCTTGCAGGAATAAACGGCGTCGAAGTGGGCCAAGCGCTCATCATCTCCCTCTCCGTAGCGCTGAACGACCTCCTATACCTGCCCTGGCCGTACACTCTCCGCGTGGGGTCTAAGGTGCTCGGAGGAGAGTGGGGCGCGGGCCTCGCGTTCGGGAGCAAGGAGCTTGTGGAGAGGCACTTGTTGAGCTTGTACTTTATGCTGCCGCTCATCGGAGTCTGCGCAGGGCTGATGTTCCACAACTGGTGCGTCGCTCCCCCTAGCGCACCTGCCTACCGCCTCTCTTCACATGGAGCTAACATCCCGCAGGTACCCGGCCCGCGCGTTCCCAGGTGACACCCTCTGCTACTTCACAGGCATGGCCATCGCCGCCGCGGGCATACTGGGCCACTTCAGCAAGACGCTCCTGCTGTTTTTCATCCCCCAGATATTCAACTTCCTCCTCAGCTGTCCCCAGCTGTTCTTAATCGTACCCTGTCCAAGGCACCGGCTTCCCAAGTACGTTACCCGTCCTTCTGCTTCTGAGCGTTCTGCGATGCTCACGTGAGCCTGACATTGGTTAGACTGAACAAAGATACGATGCTCTTAAACACCTCCGAAGCGGATCTGTCAAACGAGCCACCCTCGTCTCTGCGAGACCTCGTCCTCCAACTCCTCGCCTTCCTCCGTCTGACCCGTCTAACCACAGACCTGAAAACGGGGCGCATCACCGCCTGCACCAACCTGACCATCCTGAACGTGTTGTTGTACTGGTTTGGGCCGATGAGCGAGGAGGATCTGGTTGTTAGAGTCATGCTTACTCAATGTGCGGGCAGCGCTTTGGCGTTCGTGGTCCGGTATGGTGTGGCCGGGTTGATATATGATGGTGACCGGAGGTAGCGCAACTCCGTGCGGCAGGGAAGATACCTATTGCTAGATGCCAACGTAATTCAATTGTATTCAGTGCTGCGGGCAATCCAGGCACCACAGCGTGGCCAAGGGGGCCACATCATACATATACGGAGGGCAGGATGATATATAATTCGATACGGCAACAGCAATTTTCGTCCCCAGGTTGACAATTTCAAACAGGAAAGGCGTTATGAGCACAGATGGAGGAGAATCATGATTGGTCGTGGGTAATTCATTATTCAAAGGGAATTGAATGAATGGCATGGGTAGAGGGGATTGGCAGGGAATGAGGATGAGAACAGTCTTGGGGAAAAATGGCCAATGGACGGTTGGCCTTCCACAGAGCCAATGATGGAGAGCCGAGAATTGCGTGCAAGTGATGCGTGGTTTTGATAGCATGGCTCTCGATGGAAGGGCCTTTTGATCCTCGTGGTGATATTGCGGGAGGGTGAATGATGCGGCCAGAAAAGAAACAACTTGCAGAGAGAGATTTGGAGATTCCTTGCGAGAGCCATATTAGAGAAACGGAGAGAAGAGAAACTGAAATGGAAGAGTTTTTCAGGCATTCTGACCAGCCATCAGGTCGTTCGCCTGTTGCTGCCGCATGCGTTCGCGCACCTGCCGGAACATGAGAAGCTCATCTTCGCTCAAATCACCGGCGAACTGGGTCAGTGTGTGGTCAAGCCATGCGATCTTCGAGGCAGGATCTGCAGATGTCGTAACCTGAGATGGTGGGAAAGCGCCCATTTGGCTTGGCCCACCTTGCGGGACAAAATCTGGTCTAGAGAACTGTTCCGCAATCTGGTGGAAGGGCATCTCGGGCTGCTGGCCATGTTCGACGGATATCATGTCTCGAGATGCAAAAAGGACTTCGGACTGAGAATGGGATCGATGCAAACGGTGGTGACGAGGGAAGCCATTAGTTTGCGACACGACCAACTCGCTCATGGCATGTTGCATTGGCGGAACACCCGAACGAGTAATCGATGGTGGAGCCATGGACAAGGTTGTTTGTGAGTGCGAGGCGAGTTCGCCCTGCAACTGATGGAAACCAGAGACGCTATGCTGAAATGCACCTGCCAGATGATTTCCAGAGCTTGATGAGAGAGTAAACGGTGTGCCAAGTGGTCCGAAAGCAGCATGATAGGCAGCTTCAGACGCGTCCCCTGACCCATGTTCATCGTCCTCTATGATAGTATCTGTGCTCGGCAGAAATGCATGCAGTGTATTACGTGATGAGCTGGACCGGGGCAGTTGCTGCGGCGGTGTGAAGAGAACCATATTGCTCATTTCGTTGCTGGGGGTGCTTGTTTGTTCCGGCAAAGAAGGCTCTTCTGCTAATGCGGGGAACAAGAACCCATCCGCTCGTAAATTGTGTTGGAGAGGCTGTAATGGAGAAGAAGTGGCGCTAGACATGGGTTCCGAAGTAGCCTGAGGGAACTGGACCTGTGCTTGAGATCCAAAGGAGCCCGTGGGGGACACGAAACCGTCCAAGTGTGCAGGCGAGCTTCCAGGTGCTGAGGCATTTGAGAAAGCTCTTCGACGACTCTCAGGAAGATGTTGGACAGGAGCGGCTGATTTCTCTACCAGCATGTCCTGTTCAGCCCCCAAGTCTGGTTGAGCGTCGAGCTTGCCAGCCAATTCCTGGCTGTCGCCAGTGGCGTAATCCTCGAAAGAAGGATCATAGATGGTCAATGAACCCGAGCTGACAGCGGAGAAGCCACTAGAAAACTGTGAGGAGTTCGCCAAGGTCGATGTTTCTTCCTCTCTCTCGGTCTCCTCTTCAGTCACCTCACCGCCTGTTGACTTTGCGTTCGAGCGCCCTGTGCGGCGCCTCTTTGCCATTGTCGGTGGCTCTTCTTCTTCCTCCATATGTTCATCCTCGATGGTTCCTCCTCCGACAACACCCTTCCTGATTTGGTGTCGATTTTTGAAGCCGGAAACCCAACCTACGCTCGCTTTGAAGCGAGGTGTATGTCCAAGCGTCTCAGCAATCTGGAGCGCTTTCTCCCGGATCATCGCATCACTGATCGAGACGTTCTGCTCTGTTAATCGAGCAACCCAGGGGGACATCTGCTCCTCCACATCGGGATACTTGGTAGGCCTTGGAATAAGGTCAGCCTTTTTCAATAAGGGATCTAGCATTGCTCTCGAGCTCACCTATTTTTTGGACCAACCCTCCCGTCCTCCAGCTCTCTCAAGATAGAGCTGCGGTTCTTAAGCGTCTTGCTGACCGTACTACGTTCGACCTCAAACCGTATACCAATGTCTGTCTGTGTCATCTTAGGATGCTTCTCTGCGAATTCCAGCATCTCTTTCCGCAAGTGGTTCGTCAGCTTGGCCTTCCTTTTCGGTGCGCGACGAGATGACGATCCAGAGGACGTTGTCGCACTAGTCAGAGATGGTGGCGACAGGGACGAAGTACTGTATGCAGAGGAATGGAGGGACGGCGTAGTGGATGTAGGGGTCATAGTGCGAGAGTGAGTTGGCGTATAGGAGAGGTGGGCCCATGGGGGATTTGGAGGATGGGCGAAAGTGATGGGAGACTGGTTGGCGCTGTTCACTGTCGTGTGAGGGCTTACGCCCCCAGACACGGTACCAGCAAACATAAGCTGACCTGCAGACTGAGCGATGGTAACGGAGAGCGGGGGAGGCTGTTCGAGTTTAGGTCAGACGCATATACTCGGTAACGCGGGAGGCGTGAAGTACCTTGACCTCTTCTGCCTCCTTTCTCGCTCTCAATCGCGTTTTTACCCCCTGCATTCCTAGCCCAGTTGGATCACTCGTGCTCCTCGGCAGAGCAGATGTGGCATCGGTTGCGGTCTTGATTCCACGCCTAATTTGGATCGATGTATGCGACGACGAGGAACTGGTGCCATTGGCGGTCGGTACGATCGGAGCAGGGGCGATATTGACAGGTAGAGGTGGGACCGGTGGAGGGAGCATAGACATTCCAGCGTGTAGAACAGCAGCGGCCCGGGCTGCTTGAGCATCACGCTTCGTTTGCGAGCGGGTCCTAGGACGCGCTGCTGCGGATGTGGAAGTGGCAGTGGGCGATCCAGAGGTCAGAGAAGTCGCAGAAGACGAAGAAGGCAGCTGTCCTGGCTGGGAATCTGACTGAAAATGGGTTTGTGAAGTAGAATCATGGGTGTTTTGGGCAATCATGAAGGCTTGAGGTGGAAAACCTTGTTGGCCCCATGGCCCGTGGGCATGAACGGGGGAGTGGTTGATAACTTGGTCGTAAAGCAATTGTTGCTCGTGTTGATCTGGACTCAGCTGGACCGCATTCATCGATGTATGCGTTTGTCCATGGTGACCCTCAGAATGAGCAGGGAACACGAAGCTATGCATGCGAAGTGCGTTGCTTGTGTTGGTGTCCGTAGTGGGATGCCGTCGTGTCATGTTGGGCCGACTAATACGCGGTGTAGACGCGAGAGAGACAAATGCTGGGTATATCAAGCCTGGCAATCGTCTGTCTCACGCCGAGATCCGCTACAGAAACGCGTGTAAGTCGTGGTGTACGGAAATGACCAAGTCGAGCAGACGTACGATGTCCGGATGCTGCGGATGAGCCGTGAAGACTTGTCTCGCCGCTCTCGACCCGCGACCGTCGAACGTCGCGCCTTCCCCGGCAACCTCTCCGGACTCCTTCCTCTCTCCAAGAGGTAAGACGGTCTTATCACGACCAGCCCGTCGGCAATACTAAGACGAACTAAGCGACGTTCGTACTGGCTCGAACCCCAACGCTGGCCTACCTCGCGTCTGCCTGCGCGTCTGCCTGGCGGATACGTGTCTGGCGCAGACCGTCTGCCGTGAATAGAGAGCTCTAGATGACAACTCAATGAAGACACGAGATCGTGACGGGGTATATACCAAGGAGGCGGAGGGTTGGACAATGCACTGGCGGGAGAGAGCCGACGTCCCGAAGAGGCCAACGAGGAGCGGGTCGCCGCACGCAGGTCTGTCACTCGGATTCTGAAGGCTCGCCAGACCCGGGCACTAAGCCACTTCCGGTAGGCCAACTTTGTCTCTCACTCCTCCGTTCCTGACCCATTTTTTCCCTTCTTTCTAATTGTTCATGTATTAAATCTTGGGAAGGTAAATAATTCTGGGTTCCTTCACAAAAGTATCTACGTTGTGGTGAACAAAGTACTACTATGCGTCCACACTTCGCACCGAGTCGCCCAAGCGGGAGCGCGTCAGACTATCGCGCTAACTCTCGGAAGACCTTACAGTGAGTATTGTAAGTACTCCGGACATTGCGGAGAGACACCAGCATTGGGTCCACCTTCATTCACCGTATAAGCAGTCATGATCCTGACACCTTCCATTTTGATGGTCGCCCGCCGCTGGCTTAAAGTCCAATTCGTACTCCACCAATTTCTGCTAGCAAGAGCCTGCATAGCCTTAGCTAGGCTCCGAACTCCCAGTAATTCGGTCATTGAATTCCCACGGCTTGGGCTGCCTAAATTAGTGATGAGCCCTTGTTCAACAATTGTCAAGATCCCTGATCGTGCATGTGGGTACAATGCACTATGCCGGCACCGCGTCTCTTGTCCCCGGCCACCGGTTGCCAGCTGTCATGAGGCGAACTCATTCGTCTGATTCGTTGCAACTTCGAACGCTTTATCCACGTTCTAGTGACGTGTACGAAGCGGTAAGCTTCTTGGGTTGAAACACATATGTTACAACCATCCAGTTCGCCGGCTTCCCGAGTAATGAGTTCTGAAAGCGCCTTGTCAACCCACTCGGACCTGACGCCATCTTTGTTCTGCAACGCTGTGTCCTTGAGGACACCCTGAGCGGCGCAATCCTCCGGGCATTCCTCACGTATACAATAAAGGACTAGTGTGATCGGAAGTTTGTGGCACCTTAAGTGAAAGGAAGATAACAAATCTCGAGTCTATTCAAGCCTCTTGTCATGCGGAAGCAACGCGGTCCCGAAAGACTTTCGGCCGGACAAACTCCGACCATGAAACAGTCAATTGTTCCAATTGTTCTATCAACCGTACTTGACTCGACTTTCTACACCAAATGCTGTCCCCCTGTCGGTCTACGATCTCTGCTTTGGGCATTGTCCATTTTCAGTTTACGGGACGGAGATGTACCTTGCCTAAATTGCATCTCGTTCTTAAAACTGTCTGCAACGGTTTTTTTAGCGAATATCACTGTCAAGCTTTCTGTTCGCTGTTTCTTATCCAAACCTTGACTTTTCTTTCCTCAATACTGGGTTTGCAATGTCCCCGGTCCAAATATTAGCTTCTATCTATTTGACGTGGAGCGTTCCCTGGTCGCTGGTCTGGCTAGACGCCCTCGGATCCTTTGCCTCCACTCCTTGCGCTTTATAAAGAAGATTTACCGATTAACGCGCAGCGATCTCCCGGCAGAACGCCTGCAAATCCGTGTTGCTGGTGCCATAGAGCACGTCATAGTCCGGGAAACATGCTACAGGCGCGTGTCCCTGCATATATCAACCGGCTTGTCATTCCTCTTCAGAGGGCGTTTGAGAGGGAACAAGACGACAATCCACTCTTACTAGCTCAGCAAATCCTTCAGCGATGCAGTCCTACACGCACTATCGCGGACGCCCTTATCGTGCAGCGCCTCGCAGCAGTCTTCCCTCTACCCTTAGTCCGAGCAATCATCCGACACACGCGGATCTTCTAAACGGACTGTCTGAAAGGCTGACCGTTATCACCCGCCCTGCTGGGGATGCTGTTGGCAAGGACAGTATCGAGATCAAGGGGTTCAAAACGGTTGCTTCTTATAACTGGGTTGATGGCGCCGACGAGCCTACTATTGTCCTCCCTGGTACGTTGTCCTGTATCACAGTCCACAAATAGACGCTGTAGCTGCTTTCAGGGGAGCCACCTGTGTGGTCCCCGCCAGCTACTTCGTTCCAGGTCGCCCCGGATAGCAAGCCTTACTACATCGACCAAAACAAGGCGCAAATCTCGGACTGGCCTATCGAGCCCCTTCTCTAATCTGTTAAAGCCTTGGATCCTACGTTCGACCTTGGCTCCGTCGATGTCGTCACCAGTCGCAACAACTTGCGCAAACTGTTACGCTTTGTTACGGGCACGTACACGGACGATTGGTTTCGGATCGATGCAGAGCTGATTGGGGATGCTATGATGCTCATGCGTTGGGAAGGCGCACAAGTGGAGAGGTCTGGCCAGTTCAGAGGGTATGGTGCCAATTTCAAACAGCAATGTACGAAGCCCGGCAGAGATGATGCCTCAACTAACCATAGGACGGTCACCTACAGCTTGGGTGGGCTGAACTTGGTAGTAGGTTGCCACGTAGATGGGCAGGTTCGGTAGGTGGTAGCCAAGAACGAGGTTTCCACGGCCAAGAAGGAAGATGCCCACCCGACCGATGCGGATGACCTGGCAGCATTACTCAGTGGCCTGTCGGTCAAGAAGTCCGAGTCTACCGAAGTTTTCGACGACAGCAATGTGCACTTCGTCAAGGACGGCATCCTCTGTCCCGATTCTACCACGCTCGAACTGCACACCCGATCTGGCGTTCGCGCATTTGAATACTTCGAGGCGTACGCTCAAATGTATCTCACACAGACGAGCTACCTCATCGTCGCACGCCACAATCGCGGGTACTTCACGATGCCGCCAGAGAAGCGTGCCCTGGACGACCCGTTCTTTCAGGCTTATAACACGCAACTCCAAGACGCCCTGAAGAAGCTCGTAGTGGTGCTGAAGGAGATGAAGAAGGCCATCAAGGAGGGTGCCAATGGTAGACCCGTGGCATTCGTCTTCGAGGGCTCGTCAATGGACATGTTGCCTTTCAAGCGACCTAAGGACCACAAATTGCAAGATAGACTCAGGAAGCTGTTCGATAAGCCTGCTGATGCTTGAAATGTTGTTCTAATCCTGACCGATCATAAGTGGATGAAACGCTTGATCTTATCCAATATTGATCGGATAAGAAATCTCAACTTCCTACATCCGGGACCCACTCTCTGAGATCAAACGCTGCTCGTCTCTGATCCTCGCATCCGGGATGCGCCTTGATTGATCGCCTGATATATGCGTTGTAGCACTTCATGATCGAATGAATCTGCTTGCTTGCTGGCAACCCCCGCAGTCTAGACCTATTTTCCGGTCATGGGTCATGACTTAGACAACAGGTGCCGAACATGGCGGGGGTATCCGCCCTCTGTATTGGACGGTCTCGCAGCTTCGCGACCCCCTGTGACGGATTCCTCCTTACGTTGGCACGATCGGCTGTCAGAACCAAGAGCCAGTAGACCAGCGACATTCCGACCTTTTCTATCCACTTGCGTGGTTCCAACTTGTGGAGATACGGGTCGAAGCGCTAGCTGAAATCAAGCAAATGTTACCGATTATCGCAGCGCCTTTCAATATTGCGTCCATCTTCCTCATTTGCGCCATTGGTCTGGTCAACTCTGCGTTCCGATCTGTTCTCCTACTATTGAAGTTGTCACTGCTTGCCTTCTTTAGACGCGCTGATTTGGGTATATAAGGAAGACTTCTATTGACACGCTCGTAATTCCGCTTCCCATAACCAGCCAGATATCCACCCTATAGGTCCTCATGAAACATGTCGATTGCTGGAGACAGACATGCTGCAAGCACATGCCATGCACAGCTCTGCATAAATCACCCAAGTACAGGAGTTGAGACCGCAACAGACTACGAACCCCACGAACTCACTGCGAAGTATGCACCAGTATAACAACTACCACGGGCGCCCATATCGTGGCACGCCTCCTTTTAGGCCTTTTCCAGTTAGGCAAAATCAACCGAGCAGCCGGCTAACACATGCAGACCTCTTGAACGGCCTATCCGACAAGCTCGCTGTTATCATCCCCCCTGACGAGGAACAGCTCGACCCCGAAGAAATCAAGGTCGAGGGATTCAAAACAGTGGGTTCTTACAACCGTGTTGATGGGATTGGGAGGCCCTCCTTAATTGTCCCCGGTGCGTCATTCGGGTTGCAGCTTCTCGCAGCCTGACTGGCTCTAGGCGAGCCGCCCATCTGGTGCCCCCCAGACACGTCTTTCAAAGCCACAGCAGACAGCCTGCCAGACTATGCAGGCCACAGTCGAACGAGCAATTCCAGCTGGCCGAAGACACTCATCCAGTCTGTGAAGGCATTCGATCCTGCGTTCGACCTGGGGTCGGCGGACGTGCTTACGATCCGGAACAATCTGCGCAAGGTGCTGAGATTCGCTATGGGCACATTTACGCACGATTGGTTCCGGATCAATGCCCAGCTTGTTGGGGATACGATGGTGCTGATGCGCTGGGAAGCGAGCGACAGCTCCGGCGTGTATAGTGGGTACGGGACGAGCTTCCGGAAGACATGCACCACGGTGGTAAGGGAGGACGCGCCCTTGAATCATAGAACAGTAGCCCACGAGCTAGGCGGCCTGAAATTCGTTATTGGCAGCCATGTCGATGGGCAGGTCGTCGATGATAACGGATTCTCGACAGAACATGGGTTCGATATCCAGAAAGAGATTATCAAGACCACCGGAACGGACGAACTTGCCACACTGTTGGGCGATCTATCCGTCGAGCAACCCGAATCCGAAGCCCCAATCGACAGCCCGGTACATTATGTCAGAGACGGCACCTTGTGTCCAGACTCTACAACACTCGAGTTACGCACCTTGTCCAGCTTAAATCAAGTGGACTACCTGGAAGCGTACGTTATGATGTACCTCACACAGACGAGCTACCTTGTGGTTGCGCGGCACACCCGTGGATACTTCAAGATGCCGCCAGAGACACGCGCTCTGAACGATCCGTTCTTCCGCGCGCACAAGGCGGAACTCCAGGAGGCGTTGAAGAAATTCATCGTAGTGCTCAAAGAAATGAAGGAGGCCATGAGGTCGCATGCGAGCAACCAACCTGTTGCATTCGTATTCGGGGGGTCATTGATGGAGATGTACGACTTCAAGAAACCTGGGTCCGTGCGACTGCCATGGAGCCTAACACGATTGTTCGAGACGCCTACTGAGGCATGAACGGGAGATTGTTGTAAGAGTTTTCGCCTTTGCTAATCATATGTGGATGAGAGAAGCTGCAGTTCATCCAACGTTGATTGGATAGATATCGATTTATGCCTGTCTACAGTCTGAGTTTGTGGTGCTAAGATCAACTCTCTGTTTGACCCTGATATTGTAGGCTTCGGTTGGTTGATCGCCGCCATCGCTTCGTCGATATTTCATCAGCAATGAAACTGGGTTGTTTCTCAACCGGTCTGTCCAGCATTGTTATGCCATCGTGAGCTAAGCCTCAATGATGATAAAGCCACAGTCGTGAAGCTTAAGCAGAAGGGCATTCAGGCGCGTGTCGCGTCGCGTCTGTGTCATTACATTTCGGTCAGGGTGCCCAGTCAGATTCACGTCTACTGGTTGCTCTCCTTCCATCATATCATATTATATCTGGGATCATGGGTATCAAAGGACTCACACAATTGTTATCTGAGCACGCGCCCAAGGCATTGCGAGATGTAGAGATGAAGACTCTTTTTGGACGAAAGGTCGCGGTCGACGCGTCGATGTCAATATACCAAGTAAGGGAGTCAACTGCCTGTCAACACGCTCGCTAACGCGCTTGGTAGTTCCTCATTGCAGTGCGACAGAAAGATGGAGAGATGTTGATGAATGACCAAGGAGAGACAACAAGGTATGTCTGGTTATGATTCGTCCCATCCTACCTATACCAACGTCGCGTCAAGCCACTTGATGGGTTTCTTCTACCGCACCATCCGGATGGTCGAGAATGGGATCAAGCCTGCTTACGTGTTTGATGGTCGACCTCCAGAGCTGAAGTCCGGTGTGGTCAGTCCTAGATTCTGTGCCGTGCTGGCTCAAGCCTAAGAAAGTGTAATAGCTGGCAAAACGGTTTGAGAGGAAGGAGGAGGCGAAAGAGGAGGGTGAAGAGGCTAAGGAGACAGGTACGCACTCCGTTCTATGTGTTGAATTTTATGTTCATTGTCTCTAGGAACCGTTGAGGACATCGCGCGGCTGGCGGGAAGAACCGTGAGGGTGACACGGGAACACAATGAGGAGTGCCAGAAGCTGCTTGCGCTCATGGGTATTCCGTGCGTTGTGGTGCGACAGTCCCCATCTCATGTGCTATGGAAGGTACTAATCTCATACATAGGCGCCTTCTGAGGCCGAGGCACAGTGTGCAGAGCTCGCCCGAGGGGGCAAAGTGTTCGCCGCCGGATCAGAAGATATGGACACGCTTACGTTCAATACGCCGATCCTTCTCCGGCACCTTACCTTCTCTGAGGCGAAGAAGATGCCCATCAGCGAGATCAGTCTGGAACTAGCACTAGAAGGGCTGGAAATGAACATGAGCAAGGTTTGCATATTCCGATGTTGCTGGCGTGACTGCTGGACAGTTTCAGCTGACGCGACATGACAGTTCATCGATCTCTGCATACTCCTGGGTTGTGATTACCTCGAACCTATCAAAGGTATTGGTCCGAAAAGTGCACTCAAGCTGGTGCGGGAACACGATAACATGGAAGAGATCCTGGAGACTCTGCGAGGAAAGATGGTGAAGAAGGAATCCAAGGGGGATGGTACGCCACCAAAGAAGCGTGGAGGCGTGCAGGTGCCAGATGATTGGCCGTGGGAGAAGGCGAAGGAGTTGTTCATCCACCCAGCCGTGACGCCCGCTGACGAGCTGACGGTAAGTGACTCGCATACGAGTCAACGGGAAGTGTCTGGTAACACTGGCCAGCTTGAATGGAAGGACCCGGATGTCGACGGTTTGATCGAGTTCCTCGTCCGGCAGAAGGGATTTAAGTATGTCCTTCCTCGCGTCAGTTTGTTCAATGTCTGACTCGCGTTCCAGTGAGGACCGCGTGCGAAAAGGCGCGGAAAAGTTGTCGAAGATGCTCAATTCTAAACAGCAGGGACGGCTGGACGGGTTTTTCAAGGCGATGCCGAAGAGCTCGCCTGACAAGAAGGAAGATGCCAAGGGTGGGAAGGGGCCGAAGCGGAAGGTGCGTTATCGTATCCACATCAAACCTGTCCGAGACTGAAACGGGCTGGGCCAGGCCGACGACAAGGCCGACGGGGCGAAGAAGAAATCCAAGAAGTAGGGAAGGCGGAAGTGCATATGTCTCGTGAGCAGCATTATCATGTCTCGGTATATTTGCCGTTCTGTATTATCTACATTATTCATGCATTTCACATCCCGGCACAATACAGTCATGTCTCGGTGACGAGCCAGTCGCGGACACTTTGATGTCGGCCGTTGCGACGTCCAAGACAACACCATCCGGCACTTCGTACTGCGAATATAAGAACACACCAATTGATATTCATTGCTTAGATGTACGTGGCCACTGGCACTTCGAAAACTTCCTACGCCAAACCAGCAACATGACACGAGAGTTCGTGACGGCCTTCGCAACCTTCCTCGCGACCCCGATCCACTCCCTCCCAAGCGAGATCCTGTTGGACATCTTCGACCTAGCGATCGATGAAATCTGGACACGCAACACAAAAGAAGGGCACGACTGCGCCTTCAAGCTGTCGCACGTCTGCCACCGATGGAGAAACATCATGCTGAACTACAGTGTGATGTGGCACAGGATCTATATCGGGGACGGGCATGGGCAGAGAAGCCGGACGCTCGAGTGTTTCCGACGTATCAAGAATAACCGACACTTCGAACTGAACGCCTCCCCCTGCTCCCCCTACGTGGTAGTCGACGAAGATGCCTCGGGGCCGGCGCTCGATATCGATATCAACTGCGGGGATAGTAACAAGTACTGTGCCGGGGCAGTGCTGTGTAAGAATCTGCACCGGGTGCGCAAGCTCCGCATCACCGCATCCGCAGAGCCAATGCGAGTCATGTCCCGATACTGCAAGGAGCCCGCGCCCCTACTCGAAGAGCTGACGATCGTGCCTCATGGGGGATCGGTACGGTGGGCGACGTATATCACCGGCGTGGACATGGACGAGATGTTCAAGAAGAAGTCGCCGCGGTTACGCAAGGTGGACGTGACGCTGGTGCATTTGCGCTGGCCGAGTCCGCTGCTCAAGGACCTTCGCGTGCTCATCGTTCGCTACGCGCCGTTCGGCGACTGGCCACAATTGTACGACCTGCTTGATTCGCTGTGCGCCAGTCCCGAACTGGAAGAGCTCCATCTTCTCTGTCCGCCTGGTGCGCTGCACAGCTCCTATCCCGAGATTGGGCCAGCGCAAGATCTCTTCCGCGACCTAGTGTCCGATCCAATACGGGCCGACAATACCAGAGTGATCCTCAAGAAACTCAAGATGGTTGCTTTGGAGAACGCGTTCCTCGAGACGATCCCGATGTTGCTACCCTTCTTAGATGTTCCAAACGGGGTAGAGTTGAAGTTAATCGCAGACGACGACCAGTCGAACCTCAGGCTAGGGCCCCTCCCCAAATGCGACTTCTTGGACAGGGCGGTGGCGCTTCGGATTACAGGACTCGGGTTTGAGAGCAGGCGGGCATCAGCGCGCTTGGCGGCACTGATTGACGCCATGCCCAAGTTGACACTCCTAAAGTTGCATGCCGGTGCCGGTCAGGAGCTTGTGCAGCATTATATCAGAGAACTGGAGGATACGACAAACTGGGCGAATTGAGGATGGTCTGCAGCACGATGGGATCAACATTGTACGTTAATGCAAGATGTATTGGTATCGTACTGAATGAATATAAATGCATCTCATCAACTCCTCCGGGCTCCGCTCCGATGTGCGACACTCATCATCAATTGGACTTCTTCTTTCCCTTCGCATCCTCTGGCCTTGATAAGGTTGAGTTCACACTCTCACAGAAAGCGAACCATGCTTACGAAACCTCATTCCTCACGATCGTAAGCTTCGAGTTCCCAGCTGCACCGACAATCTGTTTCTCTATTGAGCGGTTGATTTTGGAGGAAAGAGACTACGCAAATATCAGCATCAACCTGAGAAAACAACCATGTTAACGCACCTTTTTGAGCTGGTCGTGTTTGACTGCATCTTTCTTCTTGGGTGCAATCACTCGCTTTCCTTTCTTTGTATGGGATGCGTCTGGTTTGCGAGATACCGCCTTCTTTTGCATGCCCTTTGACTGATTTTGCACCATGATGTAAATGTATAGAGTTCAAGTTGCAGTCAGGATGAGTCGGTGGATGCTCGGGAAGAACAAGAAAAGTTTTCGCCACTTTTCAACAAGTCCCTGAAAAGAATCGCAACAACGGTTAAACGCCGACGATTTCCTCACTCACACCACCATGAGGCCAGCGGCTATTTTGCAATAGACAACGCTAACACTCAAATGCCCTCAGTGTTGGGTAAAAGGAAAAGGGGATCAGTCCAGTTTGATCGTGGTGGCAGTCGACCTGTTGCTGCTGGTGTTGGAAAGCAGGGTACGTTAACGCCGACGCCGCTCTGCTCGGCCAGTGCTCATCAATTCCTAGATGCTAGCAAGGCCATTGTTAGGGCAGTGGAAGAACAGCTTGATTTGGAAAGGGCTATGAAGCTGAGAGAGATCAAAGCGACCGAGGCTAGGATAGCTTGGGCGCAGACTGTAGTCGAGGGCATTGAACAAGGTGCGCGCATTGATTGTCTTCAGCTGGTGGTAGTCGCTGAATGAGCATCTGTAGGCGCCGGATCGTCCTTCTCTGACGGCAGTAGGGTGAAAGCAGCTGCTCTTCTCTCCTACTGGTCTATTGGGTCAGCTTACTACACATGGACGCGCCCTCGGGCTCCCAACCACGCTCCAGTCAGCACCAACCTTCCAGGCGTGCCTTTGCTACCTCCTCCACCGCCTGTCGACTTCCCCCTACTCTCTCCTGACCTGCGCGCCTCTGTCCAGTCCATCATATCAAAAGGTCACAAACCTCTATTAGTCAAGTACGTCCTCGACACTTGTTCCGAGTTCGTGCTGCTCGTCCTCGCGTGCCCTGTTTGCAAGCGGGCGGATCTCTCCACCGTCCAGGGGTTCTATAACCATTGCCGCCTCGCCCATCAGCTTACGTACGCAGGCCACTCAGAGTGCATCGAAGCTTCCGGACAACGCGTGACGAAGGAGGATATCCTCAGTGTGGGGCTGGACGATGTAGAGATTAAGGGGACCGGCATCCCCAGCATACAGAGACTCTTCCAGCGTGCAGTGGGGATGCAGCCCTCTGCCCCTGCGCCTGTGCCACAGGCGCTCGACCAGATCGTGCAAGCACACACCCCACTATCGCCTTCTCCTGCAGCGGTGGACACCGACCTAAACAAGACTCTCGGATTGCACGACGAGACGCCCGCGCTGGCTCAGTTCTTGGGCACGACGGCGCGGCGAAGGCAGATCAAGGTGTTCGATACTGGTGAGGAGATCGACGTGGTCACTGAGCTCCCGGAACCACGTCGCTTCAGGTGGCTGTATCGCCCGCGGGGCGTACCACCTGAGGAGGAAATGCTGGACACAGCTATTCCCCATAGAGTCGACAACCCTCCGCCTTCAACGATACCCCAAGCACCGATACCCACTGTCACGAACCCACATGAGAAACAATCCCGCTTTCATATCTCTCGCCGGATTATCATTATCGATCGCAGCCGATTTATACCCCTATGTGCGTTGCTATTCCGCACTCAGGGAGTAAAGCTAACCCCAGGCAGCCCGTCGTCATGGTAACGTAGACGGCTCCACACACGAATGGTCTCTAAGCATCATCGCACCTTCCTATGTACGAAACCTGTTTCCCGTCGATATAACGTTCCTTATGATTTTCCGCAGATGCCACACCTCTCTACCTTCCTCCAAGAAGCGCACATCACTGTCCCCTCGAACCCTCAAACCCACACATTCAGCGACGCTCCCTACACAGCGCATGGGAAATCATCTGCCCCCTTCCTGGCCCAGGTTCGGCTCACCTGGGCCGGAACGCAGAATAAAGACACTAACACAACGCACTGGGTTGAACTGGATTCCGCCAAATCCGGCGCTTGGGTGTTGGGAGAACAGCAAGTACTCGATATCAAGCTAGATAAGGAGACGGTGTTTTTGCCTGTGAGGGAAGACACGGAGAGAGAAAAACAGAGGGAGGCGGAGGAACGCGCCGAAGCAGCAGCAGCAGCAGCTGCGGTCGCTGCGGCCGCCGCCGTACTAGACAAGCCCAAGTTGCTGGTCCAGAAAACGCTGGAGAGTCTCTTGCCGAGCTTCCCCTTGACGATGTCTGGTGAGTCTCATCCCAGTTCTTTCTAATTTCGTTTGTCTGATATTTGGCAGATGTGAAAGGCAAGAAGGCTCCTCTAGTACCATATACAGTTACCACTACACGACGCAAATTTCGAACCTTTACGATTGGGCGGCAGAGAGCGATCGAGTGGCAGCGTGCTCGCTGTCTTCGTTTAGCCGCGCAGCAAGATTTACTAAACAATTCCGAATTCGAAGCCCGCGCTTCCCTCACCACCGGATTCGTCCTGCAGTGGCTACGAGATCGAGCGGGCTTCCGCCGTATGCCTATTCCAGACCCTTCAAAAGCCAAACCAAACGCGAATGGACGTGTCAATGCCATCAACGGCAAACGAGCAAACACCAAAATACAAGAATTTTCATTTCCGAGCATAGGGTTCATAGGTGGACAGTCGGGTTCTAGCATACGACCTACGGTTCAGGGCATAGGATGAATAGACTAGATGATAAACGTTTAATTGCATAGACCGTGAGAGACTTGTTAATGCATTATCCCCGCCCGGCAGGGGATCCGTCCAAACACATGAGACGTCCAGCGCTCATACCTGAATGGGGGTCAAAACCGGGACAAACCCAAGCATATCCATGTCTTCATTGTCGTATACAATTATCGTGTCCACAGGTTGTCGTCGGTGAAAAACGGACTTAATGGCACGACGGATCTTGAGGACAGTGCTAGACCTCTGACTCTTCACTGGGGGAGGAATCGGGGAAGTGGGTGGAGAATCCAACGGCTCCGGTGACAGTGGCGGGACAGACGGAGGCGGGGACGTAGGTCGCGTGGGTGACATGGTCTTGCGAGGCAGTGTGAAGAAGCTCATAACGCTCGTAGAACGCGTGGGATTTTCATCCAAGGCTTGGGACTTGTTCTGCTTGTGTCTCAATAGCTTGGATCGTGGGCGGCGTGGTCCAGATGCAGAGGCAGATGTGGTAACCTGACCGGGAAGACAATCGACAGATTGGAATCCTTTGCCCACACCACGGACATTGCTAGTGCCCGATTCGATATCCTTGCCGTGTTCCACAACAGTAGACGTGGACAATAGGAGGCCGTCATCGTAAGTATGCCCAGCGTCGCTGGCTGACTGCATCGCCTGTCCTGAAAGGCCTGGCGCAGACGCTGGTGTCGGAGATCGGGTAAAAGACCCCGCTGTATGCAGGCTCGATGGACCGAGTTGGGTGGGGGGAGAACCCTCGCTCGCCGGGCATGATAACGTTCCGGTATTCAAAGCTGCGGAGTCGAGTTGGCCAGAAGGGATCAGTTCTGCGTAGGCATAATTCTCAGCACACAGAACACCAAGTATAAGCAAGCGCGTACCTTCACTGAAGTGCGATTTCAGGTCGCACATAATACTATTTCTGTAGCCATTGGAATTTCCAACTCGAGGTGAGCGTACGTCGAAAGCTTCTGTGGTTGGGCTGACAAGCAAGTCTCCTGCAGTGCCAAAGGGGGGCAGGACGGAGGCGGCATTGCTGGACGTAGGGGCTGTCTCTGTTGAGGCGATTGGCGCCACTCGCAACGACAACTGTGGGCGAAGCTGCACATTATTCAAAGGTGGGAGATCGAACAACTCGCGCAGGGCGGGTCGAGTCGTTTTCTTGGCTCCGGCCGAACGTTTAGGAGCGGGCAACCGTGGAATATGAGACATTCCATTGTCTGAGTACATGGCTTTCGTATCCTCGACAACCTTATCGAGAGACTTGAGCCAAGACATCGTGCGGTCTTCCCTGAAACTCGGGTCAGTCATTCTGTGGCGGGTATCAGGGGGACATACGCACTTTGTTTCGATCGAGAGGTTCTCTTTCACCCCAGTACGCAGCATATCTTCCGTCATGGATCGCTTGTGAGGTGTGATAGTAGCCTGCGGCATGCCCCAGTCGACCGAAGTGGTCTGCGATCGAGCGAGAGCGTTGGATATCCTTTCGCTCGCCTTGCGTCCAACAGCTGCAGGAGGGAGGGCGGTAATCTGGCTCAATTTGGCCGTCGGCTTCGATATAAACCCGTCTTTAGGGGCAAGGGAGATCCTGTTTCTGACTGGTTCTTCTGCCGTTTCTGGATTAGGGGCGGGGGGTTCCTCGATAGACGGGACCAGGCGAGGACGGATGACTGTTTCTGTGACTCAGCCCAGGAACGATGACACTGCAGACCTGCACTCACCAGCTTCGTTTACCTTCGACTCGGGGCGATCCCTAGACCTGACGGGCAAAGGCGGGGGAGGCAAAGGATCAGTAGGCATCTTCCTGATCTCCCTCTTGGCAAGAACGACATTCTCGACGAGCTTCTGCTTTTCCTTCTTCAGCTTAAAGTCGGAGCGGGGCACAAGCCCCCGGTTCTCGAACAGCGGTTTCCTTACACCTTGGGCACGGGGAACGAGCGCAGCCCGGTTCTCCTTCCCTGCTCTGGTCCTGGAAGGGGACAGAGGTGCGACCTTCCGACTCCCAGAGGGAGGGGACGACCCTGCTCGCACTTTGGCCGCTTCCTCAGCTCGCCGGGGCGTGGGCGTCGCGGGGGGATGATCCCGGAAAACGGGGATTCGGGAACGCATCTTCGACGGTGTAGGGATTGTACCTTTGACCTCGACGTGCACGCTGCGCAGACTGGCATTCCGTTCCCGTGTGGAGACGTGCAGGAGGTCCTGGTCCACAGGCGGCGTGTCTTGCGGGAGGACATCCAAGCTCTTGGACACTATGGACGCGCTTTCAGCCTGGGCGAACATCGCACTGGTAGACTGGTAGCAAACCGGGACTCACGAGCAACAGGCTTCTCATTACTCGAGAAGTACGCATCCCGCAAGCACTGATCAGCAAACGGCCTCTCCTCCGGGCGAGGGCACATCATCCCCCGCAACAGTTTCTCCAGACCTATGCCCAACACCTGTCAGCCCCATCCCAAGCCTTGCTTCAACCAAAACTCCGAGGAAAACGCACCTGCAGACATCCGCCACTCCCCAACCCATTCCCCCCGATTCGTCCGATCCCAATACGTCTTGAGCCCTTCAGCAGTGCTCATATCCGGGTCGGCTTTCTGTTCCTCCTCGTGCGAGTAAGGGGAGGCAGGATCCGCAGGCGCAGGGGTGGACTCGAACGGCGTACGCCCGACAAGAACTTCGAAGAAAGTCACTCCTAGCGACCAGATATCTGACAGACGGGTATCGTGTGCCTTCCCACGGGCTCGTTCGGGACTGTAGCGCAAGCTCATGAGCGGATTTCCTTGCAGTGGAGGGAAGGGGACGTACCTGAGGTACTCGGGCGTCCCGTACGCGAGCTGGGAAAGGAACCTCCCTTCTTCAGGCGGATGATGTTGCGCAAACCCAAAGTCTATGAGCACAGGCTCGTCCCTCTCCGAGAGCATGATATTCGCTGGTCTGCGCAAGTCAGCTTCTACCCACCATGTCTGGAACGACTCCCGCTTTAGTAAGGGGGAACTCACTTGATATCATTATGCACCACCCCTCTCTCATGTAACCACCCTACCGCCTGCAGGACGACGGCAAACCACCGACTCGCCTTATCCTCCCTAACACAGACCGGCATCTGCCGGCGCAGGCGGGGCATAAGCATACATCCCCCTTGGGGATGTTCTATAAACGCGATGGGATCCAGGATAGCTGGATGTCTCTGCCCTGCTAGGGAAGGATCTGGGGGATGAGTGCCCGTGCTTCGACTTGGAGCGATATGCGAGAGCTCCCAGAGGGTGTCTCCCCCAACTGGGTGGGCCTGCTGGGATGAAGGAAGGTGAAAGCGCAGGATCTGGTATTCTTTCCACAGTGCCCAGAGACGGATCTCGGCCGTCTTGGGTTCGGTGGAGAAGTGGACGAGCTTGGCGGCGTAGACTTGGGGTGTGCTACGGGAGGAGGTGGACGGGAGATGCAGAGTGTGCACTGAGCCCCAGTTACCGTACCCCAGCTAGGAGGGGTCAGCTTGCGCGAGAAAGGGCATAGAAGGGAAACACTTTCCTCCTCCCCTAGGCGTACGCGAGCCCATTCCTCTGTCGTCCACCTTCCCGCACCAGGGATGCGAGCCAGCAGCCCGCTTCTCAACAACGGCACTCCCTGGCCGGGAATCCAGCGTTTCTTCTCCTGCTTGGCCGAGGTATGCGAGTTGTTCGGACTGATATCCGGGCTGCGATCAACATTGGGGCTGGGGTTGGAGTGGGGATCCGAGTTGGAGTTCGGGTTGGGCAAAGGTGGAGGCACGGGTTTGCCTGACGGGGTACGGATACGCGGTCTTCCTCCAGCAGAACGAAGTGCGTTCGGGGTTATAGCCTGAGTCTGCACAGGAGCAGGAGTACAAGGGAAAGCCGCCAAAGTCGGGGACGCCGGCGAAGCTGGAGAAACAGGACTCCCCGCTTTTCTTCTATAGGCGTCCTTTATCCTCTCCGCCTCGCTTTTCCCTCCTTTGCCCTTGCCCTTGCCTGTCCGGGGAAGGTCCACCCTCTCGCTCTGACTGCGCGTCAGTTCCCGAGCCTGGGCAGCTTTGGCACGCTCCACAACTGCCGCCACCCTCTCTCTATGCAGAGCGATCCTCGCTTTCCTACCAAAGGTGCCCCCCGTGCCCTCGGAGGCGTCGGTAATCGGAGAACTGCCCAGTTCTGGTCCGTGCGGGGAGGGAGAGCGCGAGAGCTTGGAAGGCGTGCTAGGGATCGGGTCGAGCATGTGTTCCACGAGTCGATTGAGATGGGAGACCGAGAGCTGACTTACTGGTCTGCTAGGTAGCTCTTCTTGCATATTCTGTTGCTGATGAGCGCGAAGAGGCCAACCGCTGCTCGTCGACCTCGAGAGTGACGACAGTGGGCGAAGGGGTTCATCTTGTTGCGCGAGGTGGGAGTGGGACTGCGAGCGCGTGTGAGGTTGTGAGACGCGGCGTTCTCGTTTCTGAGAACGGGAGAGAGAGGCGCGTCTTGCCCTTTGTGAGAGGTGGGCTACGCTGACTGGGATGAGGGAGGCGTTGCTCGGTGTTGTTGAGGGTGAGAGTGTGAGGTGGGGTGTTGGTGGGAGAGGGAGAAGGGAGACTGTGCTGCCTGAGAGAGGGAGACGTGGTCGTGGATGTGTGAGAAGTGTGAGCGTGTCGAGTGTTGAAGTCATTGTAAAAGTCGTGCAAGAAGTAATTGAACAAGAGCAAGAATGCCAAAAGAGTCAAAGATGATCGTCAAGAGTGTACCAAGTGAAATATTCCGAGTCCAAGGTGAATTTGTCCGAGACAGACAGATGTTGAAGTACGGTGAATCAACCAAGAGATAAAGAGACGTTGAAAGGACAAGGTTAAGAGAGTAATTTCCACCCAAAAGAGAGTAAGGCACGCACTCGACGCGCTCTTTTCAGTCGTCACATCACAGCCTCTGACGCGACGCGTTCATGTCTCGTGCAACAAGAAGATGTAAGAATTTCGGGAAGATGTAAGAAGTTATTCGGCTAGGGTGCACCACATGCGACCCTCGCGCATCTTCTTTTCCTCCGCTCATTATCTCCGTTCCATTCCTCCCTTTTTCTCCCTTGATCACCGTCCTTGCGTCCCTCCCTCCACCACTGTCATGTCTGCCCTATTCTAGTCACTTCCAAAAGTCTTCGTGAATGGATGGGTGCAGTGTGAATCTACACGGATTCCTGTGCGCTTCCTGCTTCATAGGAGCAGCATGGAACGCGCACTTCTCCACATGCCCGCCTTGCCTTCATTCATCACCGAGCAACACAGACCAGCGCAGAACAGCAGCATCCAATGCCTCGTGTACTGCACGTCTGCACTATTGTATGCCCTGTTCTCCGTTCTCTGCGTTCTCATGCTTCCCATCTCCATCTCCCCCTGTGGCTGGCCGTCTGCCTACTCGCTCAGCTGTCAACATCTCCAGACTGGACATCTCTCCGCAGCGTCTTGCAGACAATGTACACAGTTTGACGTTCTTGCCCTGTTGCCTGCTCACTGCTGTGACATGCCCACTTTTCCCCCATTTCTTGTTCCACTGCACTAGCAGCTCGAGGCAAGAATGTACTATCCAGTAACACGTCGTGGCCACTTGTCATCATTTGACATTGGGGTTTACTGTCATGTCTGCTGGATCTTATGGTCCCACCTGCCGTTCTGGTACTGTCCTCCCCTTGTCTCTGACCTAGATCTTGGGATGGTAGATCAAATGACATTCTTTTGCATTTGCCTTCCCTGATGAAGGAGAGCATCAATCGACAGGTTAGGTCTAACAGTCTGCTGGATACTCGCAACCAGGACACACTCAATCACTGGCAACAATGTCACGCAGACCGTCATCGTTCAGCAGCATGGATAGGACTCATGTGCGAACTTTTGTCGCTCTAAGGGAATATCAACGTTGCTGCTGAACTAAGCCCGTCTCTTCCGTCCCCTCTCATCTCCATACTATCCTCATCTGGTGCTTCTCCAGCAAGAGGGTATCATCCAGCAGCGATCTCTTGCACCATATGATGTTGTTGACTATATAGGGCAGTATTTGGGTGCTGCTCGATCATACACTCACTCACACCCATCTCCTGCCTACTGTCCTCTTCCCGCAAGTCCTTGCTTCTACTCGTCTGGCGCACCTTTTACCGAGGGCATATCATCCAGCAGGATACAGCTTGCTCCGTATCATGTTTTGAGAGCTGCTCGATCTTACGCTCTTGTCATCTTCTCACATCTCGCTTCTTCTCATCTGGCGCATAGCATACCGAGCGGGGATATCATCCAGCAGCGGCCGACTTGCTGTTGTGGACTGCAACGGTTGGTCAATGACACCACCACGTGACTGTCGCCGGACCACCCCTTCTCGCTGCTCTACCACCACTACCTACTGTGCGTTGTCAATGACGCCTCATACTGTAGATGTATATCACTACTGCACCTGCTACCCGATCTCGGACTCTCACCAAGCTTGCTTCCACCCCTGGACCCCACCGTTTCAGGGACCAGGAGCTGAAATTCGCTCGGTTCAATTCCAATTTACAAGGAACACAAACACCACGTTTCATAGGGTCCTTTTCTAAGGGCAGAGCAGGCAGGTGCATGCATCCTGTACTGACCCGATCAGATAGCCTACACTGACCAGTGTAGGCTATTCTTGACCTCATACTCTCGCCTCCCCCGTAGTTAGAGTAGTTCATATTGACAATCGAGCTCCGTTTAACTGGTCTAAAATACACTCGGTGTAGCCTAGAGGTATTTCCTCCGATGCCCCATTTTCGGAAACAAAATACCTGTTATGCCCCTCCGGATGCATTTTCCCCAAATGCCCCATCTTCTTCAAGGGATCACCATGTTAGAGCAAATTAAGAATTAACTCTGGTCAAGCAGAGGCCAGGACGCCTAGGTGACCCATTTTCCCCTTTGGGGTTTTCAACACAGCTACTAAGCTACTAATGCTGTGATCCCCTGAAGAAGAGGGCATTGGGGTAAAATGCATCTGGGGGGGCATAACAGGTATTTTGTTTCCAAAAAATGGGGCATTGGAGGAAATACCTTGTGTAGCCCAGGACAGGGTTCTTTGGCACAGCTCATTGCAGAACCCTTCAACCATCAGCTTCTCCATTCATTGCACTGTTTTTGCCCCACCTTCTGGGCAATGGACACCATTTTTTTCCCATTGAGAGGAAAATACTGCCCCACTCTTTGCCCTGCTTTCTGCCAGCCTTTGTATCTTGACACTCAGCCTCATCCCACTATGAGTATCTGCTCTCAGAGCACCCAGAGCACCTTCTCACTGCCCAACTCCATTCACTGCCTCCTGCTGAATGTCTCACCATCATGAGACTCATTCAGTCTCTGGGGGCAGTGGACTCACCATCTGCAGAGATCAGGTATGTATTGCATGGCAGTCAGCAAACCAACATCACTCACAGTTCCTTGCCCATAATCCCTTCAGCTCTCCTACCCCTCCTCCCCTCCCCTTCCCACTAGCCCAGGTGTCCCCTTCTCTCGATTTGACCTGCTTGTCCCAGCCTTTGCCTGTCCTGCCAGATCAGCTTGTCAATACAGAGGATATACTGGGCTCCACACTCACCTTGCTGCCACTGTCTTTGCAGCCCAAAGTTGGTTGGCCAATGGACTATGACAGTGATGTGGATGACAAAGCGCAACTGCCCTTGAGGAAGCACTGAACAACCCCACCTCTGGTGGGGTGTGTCAGGCCAGTATTCCCATGGTTATTTTCAGGCCCTTAGAGACCATTGCATGGCACTACAGACCCTCACTATGCAGACAACACACCCCAGCAATGAGTCTTGACCCCCCGGATATTTGGCATGATGACTGTGAGGTTTCCCATGCAACAGGACGACCCAGATATTTGGCATGATGACTGTAGGTTTCCTCCACAACGGGGTTGACCCACATGGATATTCGGCATGCCAATGCCTGCCTAGGAGAGGTATCCAGAGGCCAGTTTAGTATAGAGTACAGTTTATAGTAGCTAGTATAAGTAGTTCCTAGAAACTCCTGTACCTAGCTTATATTCTGCCCCATTTCTGACAGAGTTATATGGATCTGATTATTCATATATTGGCAGACTTGATTTGACTTAGTGGATTTTACTTGACTTATTGTGACTGGACTGGACAGACACCAAGCTCCAATTATTGTGTACTGACCTTTGATAGCTCAGCTACAGGCTGACTCCCACACTCCCACCAACATTCCCCCTCTCTCCCCTCATTCCCTAGCAAGTTCTTGCTCACCACCCATCAGACCAATATTGTCAGGGTAACACCTGCAAATACTACCACTAGGCCAAAAGAGCCTCAATATCACGGTTAAGTGATATTGGTTGCAGGTTGCTATATATGCTGTACTGGGTGTACCCTGACATCACCCCCCCTTTTAGAGTGATCACCCTGATCACTACCATGTGATCACAGTCTGTTGGGCCTCACCTGTATCCCAGCGACCCTAGCACAGCCACATAGCATTGCCCCCAGGTCTGGGTGACAAGTCCAGACCTGCAAGCCAGAGGTTCAATCGGGCCCTAGCACAGCCACTAAGTACATTTGCGCAGAAATGCAGATAGTGGATGACTGTGAGGGCACTAGGTCTAGCAAGGTCACCACACACTAATCCCAAACAATAGATGAAGTGCTGGAGGATCTACTGTGGTTGAAAGTGGCTCTAACCAGCAGTACTAGTCAATATCCATGTCACCAGGGCCAGCTGGATTATTGGGGGGGTCCCAGGGGTGTTATAAGTTGGTTATAGATAGCTGAAAAGTGTCACAAGAGTTGTGGAGTCAAGGCAGGTTTCTGAGAGCAGGGTGTTCTGGCATGTGTAGAAAGGGGTTCAAGATGATGAGATGACTTAGAAACTGCTTTTAGACTAAGGAGTTTCCTCAGAGATCTAATCTGAGGGATACAGTGTCACTGTACTACTGTTTATATACCTTGTAGGTGTTCACCAGAAGCCCAGGAGTCAGGTAAATTCTGGGGACTCCTACAAGTGTCAGATAGACGTCCTAGCAATACCCCTAGGCCTCCCAAACCTTTCCAATAAATTGTGGAGACTCCTACAAGTGTCATCTTGCATCTCACTACACCCAGTAGGGGCCTTTAGCACTGCTATGTCTCACCCCAAGTGTCTGGACACAGCAGTCTTGTGGTGTCCTCTGCACAATGTCTTGTATGGCCACTGCCATCATCCTAAGGCAGTTACCAGCACAGGAAGTTCCAGGGGCCTGTTGTTTCATTGCTCCTAAGGCAAAATGGGTGGCCAGGGGTGGTAACAGGCAGTGCCCTGACAATGACATCCCATAGCATCTGCAAGCCCCTCACATATGCCTAAAATGCTGCTCATGCCAGGCTTTGTGAAGCCTGATTTGGAACTCCAATGGTCTCCCAGCCTGCCCCAGGGTCCATGTAGATTGCTTGCCTGCATGAGGGGGTTGACCTGCAAAAACTTTGGGCCTCATAAAACCCACACAGACCCTTTCCTGCAAGTTCTCAGGCTGCGCCACAAAGACACAAGACATGCTGAGACAGCATTTGCACCCTGCAGAAGCACAAGACACCCTTCCTGCACGTGATCATCATAGATTTTAGGACACTCTGTGACCAGTTGGTGTGCATCCTGTGGGAGAGGGGGGTCAGCTAACTGTGTGATTTTGACCCCCTGACATTGCTTCCATTCTAGGTATCTAGGTATTTTGGGGCTGTGGGATGTCATCCAGTGCTGACTGGGTTTGAACTAGTGACTTTTTGGTAACCATGATATTATGTCAGGGTAACACCTGTGAATACTACCACTAGGCCAAAAGAGCTTCAATATCATGGTTAAGTGATATTGGTCCCAGGTTGCTATATATGCTGTACTGGGTGTACCCTGACAGATATTTTGGACACCTTTTGGGTTGGATCAGTGCAAGGTTGCATCTACCATCCATAAGCATGAATTGACTGATGAAGAAACAAAGGTTCATCACTACCTCCTGGTAAGGGTTTCATGCATTCTACCTCCAGCATGTTCTGACCTCGGACTCTGTGACTGTGTAGGGTGAGATCAGAAAAGAGATGCAGTCCATTATGGGCTACTCTGCTCACAGCCACAAAAATCAGAAAAATCATCAGAATTGAACCCAAATAAAGAAAAACCATGGATTTGAGCAAAATTAGATGCTGAGGACCCTTGTCCAGCAACAACCACATCTGGTGGCCTTTTGCAGACAGCTGGGACCCCTAACACTGCAGCTGTCTGCAAATGTCCACCATAAGAGTAATTTCCTCCAATGCCCCCTCTGTGGAGACAAAGTTCCTACAATGCCCCTCCAGAGGCAATTGTCCTAAATGCCCCTCTTCTCTTCACATGTGCTGTGTATTTGCATGTCATCATTGTGGCAGTGAGAAAGAAACTCATAGTTAAATAGTTCAGGGGTCCCACAAGTATTGGGTGTTATAGTATGGAAAAGATTGCATAATGAAAGAGCAAAATCTATCTCAGTCATTTTGATACATTGCTGTTATTATAACCCTCAAATAACACCCCTATTTAGGAGTATATTATCTAATTTCTTGATAACACCATATGTAAATATTACTGGAAGACCCCTAAACTCCCTCATTTATTAGTTTCCTGTCACTGCCACAAAGACGACACCAAATACGCAGCACGAAGAGGGCATTTAGGGCAATTGCCTCCGGAGGGGCATTGTAGGAACTTTGTCTCCGCAGAGGGGGCATCGGAGGAAATTACTCTCCACCATAAATATGCAATGAGGTCGAATGCTTCCGTTAGTAGTGGCGGGGCTGGGGTCGTGATTGCAGGTCGCTTTATCCCCACCATTCACTTTGCTCGTCATCCGCCGCGTCTGCAGTCACACGCTTTACCTCGACCGACCTCTTTTCCCACCATCTCTTCTGTTTCTTACCACCATATCCTCACTTTCCATCGACCGCACCATGACTGACTCAAGCATGCCTCCTCGACCAGCGACCCCACCGCAGCCTGGTGCGAACGCTGACTTAACGACTACATGGGCATATCTTCTCCATGGTGTCGACGGTATCATGACGCGGTACGTTTAATACTGATCACTTGATACACTACTTACTCCGTATATGCAGATTAAAGGACGGAGTGTCATACACGAAATACATGGGGCTGTATACGACCGCATACAACTACTGTACAAGTTCGCGCATGCACGGGAGTCTAGAGACGTCGATAGGTGGGACACGGAGTAAGTAATATCATCTTTCTTTCCTTGTGGCGACCCTCCGTCTGCTTGTGTTGGGACTCTTAGCTGACATGTTTATGTGTCTTCAGCAACCGGCGCTAATCTGATGGGTTCCGATCTCTATAATTCCTTACAACGATACTTCCGGGATCACCTGCAAAGCATTCGAGGTGTACGTTATCATTTCCAGCTGATATGCGGGAGAACTGACACCCTTGTTCCTAGCAAACTGACACCCTGCATGATGAGACGTTGCTGCAGAAGTATGCGGAGGAGTGGAACCGGTACACCGTTGGGGCGAACTATGTGAACCGCCTGTTCACTTACCTGAACCGACATTGGGTGAAACGGGAGAAGGATGAAGGGAGGAAGAACGTGTACACTGTCTATACCGTGAGTATTTGCTGCTGATGAGCCATGCTTGAATATACCCAACTGACAGTTCGCTTAGCTGGCGCTTGTCGTCTGGAACGAGGAGATGTTTAAGTATATCCAAGCGAAGAACAACAAACTCGCTAATGCTATTCTTCGCCTTATCGAACGCCAGAGGAACGGCGAGAGCATCAACACGGGTTTGATTAAGCAGGTTGTTGGTTCTTTCGGTGCGTTGCTTGATGGTGCTCGTTTATCTCCTCTGACGACGGTATGCCCAGTCTCTCTTGGTCTTGATGAGCAAGACTCCAACCGTTCGAACCTCAGCGTATATGAGGCAGCATTCCAGACCCCATTCCTTATCGCGACGGAGAACTACTATAAAGCCGAGTCTGAGCAGTTCCTAGCAGAAAACACCGTTTCCGAATACCTGAAGAAGGCAGAGGCGAGGCTGAAGGAGGAAGAGGATCGTGTAGAGATGTATCTACACTCGAGCACCAGAAAGGGTGTAAGTTGCGATGATTTCTAACTCCTTCAATCTACTTAACCAACCGAACACAGCTCATCCTGAAGTGTGAAGACGTGCTCATCAGAGCACACGCACAAAAAATGTGGGACGACTTTCAGAACCTGCTCGACTTCGATAAGGATGAGGATCTTCAGCGCATGTACGCGCTTCTTGCGCGTATACCTGAAGGCCTCGAACCTCTCCGTAAGAAGTTCGAGGATCATGTACGCAAGGCCGGTCTCGCGGCTGTGCAGAAACTGGTCGGCAGTGGAGGACAGGAGGCGGCAGACCAAGTGGTACGTCGACCTGACCTGCACCCGGAAATGCATCTGATGTATCGCTTCCCAGGAGCCGAAAGCATACGTCGATGCGTTGTTGGAGGTTCACAGGCGGAATCAAGAGGTTGTCAACCGTAGCTTCAAGGGTGAAGCGGGCTTCGTAGCTTCCCTTGATAAGGCATGTCGTGACTTCGTCAACACTAACGCCGCCACTGGTTCGAATGCTGCCAAATCTCCGGAACTGCTGGCTCGTCACACCGATGCGCTGCTCAGGAAGAGCAACAAGATGAGTGAGGAGGCTGATCTGGAACAGGCGCTGAACGAAGTGGTGCGTTTGCAATTTTGTTGCAATGGAACATCACAATGTTGACGTCTGATGCAGATGATCTTGTTCAAGTATCTCGAGGATAAGGATGTCTTCCAGACCTTCTACAGCAGCAAGTTATCGAAGCGTCTCATTCACTCCGTGTCAGCATCTGATGAAGCCGAGGCATCGATGATCTCTAAGTTGAAGGAGGCTTGCGGTTTCGAGTACACCAACAAGCTGCAGCGCATGTTCACGGATATGTCCTTGTCAAAGGATCTCACGGACCAATTCAAAGCCAAGCAAGAGCAGAACCATGGCGAGATGGAAATCAACTTCAGCATCCTTGTGCTCGGTACCAACTTCTGGCCAGTACAAGCACCGAAGATTGACTTCAATATCCCTGCCGACATTCTCAGCACGTACAACCGATTCCAGGGATTCTACCAGTCCAAGCATTCGGGTCGCAAGCTCACATGGCACTGGAACTTATCTCGCAACGAGCTCCGGGCGAACAAGATGAACCCCAAGTACATCTTCATGACGTCATCATACCAGATGTCTGTCCTCTTGCAGTACAATGACAACGACAGCTTAACGATTGATGAGCTCGTTCAAGCGACAGGTATTCCGAAGGATCAACTAGAGCCTGTCATGAATGTATTGGTCAAGTCAAAGGTGCTGCTGAGCGATGAGAAGGACACTTACGACTACAACCCTAGTGAGTCTAAATTTCTACTGTGCAAAAACTATTCTCACGGGTTCTTTAGACTATAAGAACAAGAAGATCCGGATAAATCTGAACATGCCGGTGAAGACGGAGAATAAGCAAGACACGAGTGAGGTGCTGAAGACCGTTGACGACGACCGCAAGTTTGTTATCCAGGCGACTATTGTACGTGTCATGAAGTCGCGGAAGACAATGAAGGCACAGGCTCTAATCGCCGAAGTCACGCAAATCATCGCTGCTCGCTTCACACCACGCATTCCGGATATCAAGAAAGCCATCGACACTCTGCTGGAGAAGGAGTACATCGAACGTGCTGATGGCACTCGCGATACGTTCAACTACGTTGCCTGATGGATAACCTTGAGTATCAGCCCCGAGTTTGTCTCTGTATTCCGTCCGTTTGGTTCGCATGCTCAATTCGTCTTTTCACACCCCCTCAACGATGTCACTGTAGCATACATCTGGGAGCAATGCAATACTATACCTATATTAGAGGATTCGATTTATATAACTTAGTATCTGGAACTGGGTTAGAACGCATGTGGAAGGAAGTGAGATCAGGCACAGACTTGTAGAATCCCTCTCCAGACTTGCGACCCAACTTTCCCTCGTTGACCTTCTCGTCTAGGACAGGAGAGGAAGCGACCAGATCCGGTGAGAGCGACTTCTCCTTGCCTGTCTCCACTTTCTGGCGCCAGCCGTCCATGATATGCTTCGCTGCAGCACATTCAGTGCTACGATACCGATGCATATTCGTAGGGCTCACCAGTATCCAGGCCAACAAAGTCAATCAGCTCGAATGGTCCCATCGGGTACCCCGCGCCTAGCTTCATAGCAGCGTCGATATCCTCGGCAGATGCTTCGCCCCTCTCCAGCATGCGAACCGCTTCAAACATGTACGGTACAAGCCTGGGCAAGAAGTGCTTAGTCTCAGTACTAGAACTGCAAGGTTGATGCGTACAATCTGTTCACAACGAAGCCTGCTGTGTCTTTGCAGGGCACGGCGCGCTTGTGCATCCGCTTGCAGACGTCCAAGAGCGATTGGAATGTGTCATCGCTGGTGTCCTCTGTGCGGATCACCTCGACCAGCTTCATCTGTGGTACAGCTGCATCCAAATAAGACATTGTCACGTACAGAGTAGACATAGCACTCACGATTGAAGAAATGCAGTCCTCCAAACTTGGCCCGCCTCGCCGGCCCTGTCGAGCTGGCGATCTCAGCAACACTCAGACTGCTCGTATTGCTCGCAAAAATCGTTTTCGAGTCACACTCTCCGTCTAGCATACGGAACAGTTCTTTCTTCACATTGATATTCTCTACGATGGCTTCTACGACCAGATCGGCATCCTTCACCGCGACCACAGGGTCGGTGGTCATCGATACGTTCTCCAGTATGCCCGTGACGAACTTTTGTTGCTCGTCTTTGTTGTCCGGGAATTTCTTGTTGGCGATACGCGCGAGAGACTTCTGAATGGTCGTTTTCGACGTAGCTAGTGCTTGGTCGGTTAGATCGCAAAGGGTAACCTTGAACCCGTTCTGCGATGCGACTTGGGCGATGCCAGCACCTGGAGTGCTGGATGAGCACCGTCTCCCTTTAAGCTTGCAAGGAATACGTACCCATAAGCCCTCCTCCGAATACGGTCATGTTGTTCACGGCCTGCATCCTGCTACTCGAGCTTGACAGATGGCGGCGAGTTGCTTCCAATCGTCTAGCGGCGGTCGCAGAGGTGCCCGAAAGCTTATAGACGTTGAGCGTCGAGTTGGCGAGTTGGCGCTGCATTTTTTGTCGGCGAGCGGGCGGTCTGATGAGCTGGGATGGGAGCAGTGCGGGGGGACGGGATGGAACGGGGTAAAAGGATGGCCGTCGGGAAGAGGAGTATATGTAGTGGAATGTTGCGGTGAGGTGATAGCCGGCTGAACCCCCAGTTGATTTTCACGTGATATACTTTCCCATAACTTTATTAGGCGTCAACCCGGAACGCTGATTGTGCGAAGCAGTTTAAAAAAAAATTGAAATCAGTCCTCCGGGATGAGGAGGATGAGATCAGCTAAAATACCGATGTTCAGACATCTAAGCCGTCCTCGACATCAGGCACATTCAGCCCTCCGCCAGTCCATTTCCAAACCCCAAACCGATGATTCACACCTTTCCCCACGACCCCGCATCCGCCTCCAACGCCCCCACACCCTCCCGTGTCCGGCATGCCCCGCACGTAGAACACGTCCTTCACTCGGGAGTGCACCAGCGCCATAGAGCACATGATGCATGGTTCGTGTGTTGTGAACAGGGTGAGGGAGGTGAGCAGATAGCCAGAGCCATTCTTCGACGGTATACCGGAGAGTGAGGGGGTCTGTGTGCGAGAGGTGGGGAGAGAGGGTGCCGGAGAAGGCTTGGCTGTTGAACTCTGGGATAGGGTGAGCGCAGTGGAGGACAGGCATATACGGATGTCGGCAATGCCTCGAATAGCTGCCATAACCGAGTGCCGGAGGGGATGGTTGGCTGATATCCGCGTGTCTATCCCGGAGGCCTCGATAGGTTCTTCACCGGGGGTGTTGCAGGCGTACGTGCCGACGGGAATTTCTCCGCGAGATCTCGCTTCTCGGGCCACAGTCGTAGCCTGCTCCAGCCCACGGACGACCCATGCCACTTCCCCTCTTGTCCACTTACGTTCCTCTTGAGCATGTGTTATGGGCTCAACAGGCCAGACGGCGTTCTTTCTCTGGAAGTCGGGTGGGTCTTTCGCCGCGAGCTTGGGGATTTTATAGATGTATGGCGCAGGAAGGGAAGAAGGTAGAGGAGGCGGCGGGGCGATGGAGAGGAGAACGGCGGCTTTGTTGGCAAATTTGCGGACGCGACGGAGGTGGTCGAGATCTGGCGTGTCGATGGCGTTGTCTTTGATGAACCTTCGCACGGTCAATGGGCCTGTGATATCGGGAGAGAGGATCCACCCACCTAAGCATGCCTGATATCATCCGCATATCTTCAACATCGACCACCCATGCGTCTACTGAACAGACGTCAGTTCAGGCCCACTTGCACGGCGTGGCAGGTGTACTGGTCTTGATGGTGTCAGTCTCTTCCTCCTCGAGCTCTTCGAGCGATTTTATGCGCTCAAAAGGCAAGTCACCAGGAGTAACGATCTGATCCATATCTCCCTTTCTCCACTTCGACAGCGGATCAGACTGATGATCTTCTTCAACAGTATCGTCCATCTCTAACCCATCCAACCCACCCCACTCGCCTTCGTCGCTTTCGCTAGCTAGTGCGTTGTCGTCCACAACCGGAAACCAAAGGCGGGAGGAATCGCCGTAGCTGATGCAGAGCTCTTCCCCGGTGGAAACGTCACGGGTGGTAGTGTACTCGATCGTCTGAGCGTCTATGTTGCGGTAGAAAGACACATTTGGGCGTGATGAGTGGTTGAAGATAGAACCTAATTCGATGATTACTACCAGCCTAAGAACACTGAAAATAGGCCAATGTACCTAATCCCAATGCTAGTGCCATAAATGGCCTCGTTTCACCTGGGATACGCCAAATGAACGTGTAATGATCCAGCACCGTATGACGGCCATGAGCTTCCCACTCTTCAGGTGTAAACAACAAGACTGGTGAAATTTCCACTACTGTGCCCTGTGCAATCGGTCGGATGGCATACAGGCCTCTGCCTTTATCGGGTGTGGAAAGGATTTGAAGAGAGCAAGTACTGGAACTGGATGCTGGGGCATCCATGCATGATGAACAGTCGGATGACTCCAAAACCCAAAAGTTACATTTCTCAATGTATTCAATATCTCATTTAAGGTTCCCGGATGCAAATCTGAAGCCGTCCCTTACACAGCCCCTCTTCATGAGGGACCAGATCGGACTCATTTGAGTTGCCTCCGTGTTGCCCCCAAGCGCCGGTCGTCGCCACTCGTCCAGTCCAGTTCACCACAACACAGAGCGCCGTTCTGCGCACATACCAACGACCATCTGCACATCAGGCTTGTCACTAACATCAAGTGCAAGCACTGATGGTGTCTACTAGACGAAGATCAAAGGCTGCAGCTGCTGCACAGGCACCAGCACCAGAGGCTGCCCCCGAGGTGCCCGAGACGCAGGAGGAGGAACCTCTCACACCTCTACCTGCAGAAGAGCTGGTTCAGGCGGTCAAGGAGGAGCCGCCATTGGTTGTAACCGCTCCACTTGAAGTAGCAATACCTGAAGACCTCATCCCGACGCTGACTTCTCTCTTCCCTTCCGACGATCTTGCCCATCCGTCCCCCGATCTCATACTCTCCCTATACCGGACCCTCTTAGGGAACGCCACCCAGCTTGTGCGACAAACAGCCCTCGAGGCTCAGATCGAAGAGCTAACTAATGCGAAGAATACCGCGGATGATGCGGCGCGGAAAAGCAACATAACCGCACGGCTGTTTGTGGAGAAGGTTGCCGGACTTGAACAGGTCAAGAATGCGGCGCTCGAGAGGGCGCAGCGGGCCGAAGAGCGCATATCAAGCTTAGGTCTGCTCCAATTTATCATTTGCATATGCACGCTCTAACATCTGTGAAAGAAAATGAGCACGTCCAGCTCCAGACGCAGCTAGATGAGGTGAAGGTCGCCATCGAGTCTAAAGATGCCAATGCCGTTGACCTCCAAAAACGAATCGAAGAACTCGAAGAGGCAAAACGCCAGATGCAGGAAGCGAACAACCATCTTACAGAAGAGAATGAAAACCACAAGTGTCAGTATTGACCTGTGTTTTCCATGTATGCTGATGACTCACGGTTGCATGTAGCCGCATTCGCCACCCAGGAGACGTCATTACGGGAAGCAAACTCCACCCTTTCGGATAAAGAGTCAAAGCTTGCTATCGCCCAGGAGCAGCTAACTGAGGCCAATGCGAAGATCCAAGCGTTAGAAGAGGAAAGCGGTGCTCTCCGTGCTGAGCTTGTGGGTCTGAAGGAGGAAGCGGCCAAACAGGCCGAAGTGTGGACGAAGACCCAGGAAGATATGGTTCGTGCTGCACCTTGTTAGTAAGTCGTACTTGAACTGATGGTTGTATCTGTAGGCTACTAAGCAGACCCAAGCTGAGGAGGAGAACTCGCGCCTCACTGCTCAACTCTCACAGATACCACAACTGCGTAAGCATCCGTCCGTTCCGCCGCTACCATCGTGCTGACCGAGATGTAACAGAAAATGAGAAGGCAGAGCTGCTGGGCAATCTGCAGGACGCAAAAACCGCGTTGGAGTCCAGCGAAGTTAATCTCGCAGAAGTGCGGAAGCAGCTCCAAGGACAGGAGGACGCAAAACAGAAGTTGGTGGGCATGAGTGATGAACTTCTTGAAGAAATTCAGCATCACAAATGTGTGTTTTCTGCACATCACGGTGGACCCGGTGACTCACTGGCCCCTTCGCATAGTTACTATCTCTAACCTCGAAATCTCTCTTCGCGAGATCAACACCAAGCTCATCGACCGAGAATCAAAACTCGCCAGCTCTGAAGCCAAAGTCGGGATTGCGAGTGCGAAGAACCAGGCGCTCGAAGAGGAGATTGGGCTGTTACGCCTCCAAGTCGCACGGTTAAGGGCAGCAGCAACAGCAACAATGGAAGAGGGGATCAAGTCACGACGGGATCTAGTGGGTACCTTCCGTCCAGGGTGTCAAGCGTATTACTAAGGAGGTCGTTCTGCAGGCCACTAAACAAGCCAAGATTGACGACGAGAATGCTTGCCTCTTCGCCCAGCTCTCCCAACTTCAGGCCACGTACAGTCAGCTACGCGCCTCAAATGACCGCTTAACCACTACCCACCACCAAGCGATCTCCGATCTCGCCGAGCTGAAGGCAGAACACGACTCGCTTCAGTTCCAGTTCCGGTCATCTACAGCCCACTGGGAAGACCTACGGAAAACGCTTGACAGGCGTGCCGACGAGCTGCGAGAGCTCGTGCAAAATATGGAAGGGGAATGGGACCGCGAGCGCGAACAGTGGCGTGCAGAAACACAGCTTGTGCAAGATGATAGGGACAAGGACGGAGAGGCGCTCGCTGCTGCTCACGAGCGTGTCCAACAATTAGAGCGCGCGTTGGAAGAGATTGGTGTCGGCGCTCCAGAGGACGGTCAGAGTATCTACAGCCAATCAGCTCTCTTGGCCATCCGTGCCCAGAAATCGGGCAGGACGTTTAGCGATATCTACACTGCGTTGATCAAGACGGAGGAGCAGCTGAGGAGGGAGAAGGAGGAGCACGAGGCGCTGCAAGCAGCCTTCGACTCGGTCGTCGGTCAGCTTGCTGAGAAGGTGCGTTTCAGAGATGTCTATTAGCGCCACGGTTCCTGATTGAACTCGATCAGCAACCGGAGATTCAACAACGTGCCGCCAACTATGAGAAGCTTGAGTCTCAACTACTGGACCTCACTCAGCGCTTATCGCGTGCCTTATCCGCCCAAGACGAAACTGCCGAAGAGCTGCGTCGAGCCAAAGCCTTGGCCGCAGAAGACAAAGGCACGATTACTGGTTTACGGTCATCTGTGATCGACCTCAGCCGCCAGGTTCGAGCATTGACACGGGAAGTCGCTATTCGCGACGATCCCCTGCTCGTAAACGAGACGCATCCAGAATTCCAGGTCGGCTGGCCCGACAAAGATGCTGATGAAGGAAGCGAGACTGTGGATGAGGTTATCAGCCAAGCTGTAGTCTTCACCGACCTTCGGCAGCTGCAGGAGCGGAACGTCCTTCTGCTTCGCATGGTACGGGGCCTCGGCCACAAACTGGAAGCAGAAGAAAACAGCTGGGATGATCAGGAGAAGGAAGCTCTCCGGGAAGCGGAGGAAGCTATTGAGGCTCTGCAGGATCAAGTTGAGCGCAAGAATACACTCATCCAAAGCCTGAAGGAGGAATCGGACACGTGGAAGCAGCTAGCTACCCGGCAAGCCGACGGGGATGCCTTACAAGGTTCGAAATCACAAGCAGTTGCTCTCGTTCAGTCTCAATTACGGGAGAGCGCATTCGGTACCTCTGGCGTACATCAATCCAAACGGTCTGCAGAGGATGAAGAGATCCGAAGAGAGGAGGAGAGGCGTTGGAGGGAGGACCTTTCGAACCAGATGAGCAATCTGCGGGAAGAAAACACGAAGCTGCTGAGAGAACAAGGAGCGACTGTGGTGGACCTTGCACGAGCCAAGGCACAAGTCGAGATCGTCAATGGTGTGTTACTCCATCCACAGCATACGCGGTCTGTTGAGATATTGATATACTTATTGCAGACCGCTTGATCACGGCTCAGGATGACATCAAACGCAAGCAAACAGAGAACGACGAGTTAACAAAGCGGGCTTCTGCTATTCAGGCCTCTTATTCTCAAATGGAGGCTCGGTTTATGCACACTACCACCGAGTACGAGAAGCTGGAGGGAAGGGTGAACATCTTAAATGACGAAGTGTTCAGTTTGAGAGCAGAGAGAGAAAGCTGGAAGGTGTGTTCTCAGTCTATACGGTAGTGTATTTCTTATGACTCACTCCTGATTCAGAGATACGAAACAACCTTGCAGAGACAAGTCGACGAGCTCGCTACGGGCAAGATCGACCTGAATGGAACTCTCCATCAGATGCAATCCACGCTGGCTGGCCTTCAAGCCAATCACGATAGCGCTGTCAATCGCCTCAAGGCTGAGCTCAGTGATGTCCAAACACAGAGCGAAGAACTTGTCGCAAAGCTGGAGACTGAAAGACAGCGGATGGAGGCGATGCAAGCAGAACATGAACAGAGTCTCAAAGAGTTGCAGAAAATCAATGACAATTTGAGCACGGAACTGCTGTCCGTGAAGGAAAAGCTACAACAGGCAGAGGCGGATCACGATCAATTCACCACCAAGGTTGATGAAGTACAAACGGAGCTGGAAGCCGCCAACGAACGGATTGCCGCATACAGCCAGTTGGAAGCCGACGCAGAAATTACGCGGAAGGAAAGACTGAAAGTCGAAGCGGACCTCGGCGCTTCTCGATCTGAAGTCGTCGCTCTCAGGGCGCAGGTTGCTTCCGTTCAAGCTTCGACAGCTGCCAGCAACACGTCTAATCTCGACGCTTTGGACAAGCAGCATGTGGAGGAACTATCCAGGCTGCAGGCGGAACTCGACGAGATGAAGGCATCGCAGAAGAAGACCGTTGACGAAGCTGTTAAGGTGGCGGTATCGAAGGAACGTGCGGACCAGACATTGAGAGCACGGAATGTCATCAACGCGAACGTGGAGAAACGACTGAAGAAGGAGGCGGAACTTGAAGAGGCGAAGGCTGAGATTCAGAAGCTGAAAGCCAATACGGCCACACCATCGGTTTCCGCAACTGTTCCGGTTGGCAGCATTCCCAACCTTGATGTGCTCAAGGCACAGCATCAATCCCAAATAGATACGGTCAAGGCCGAGCATACATCCCAGACCGACGCACTGAAGGCAGATTACACTTCCCAGCTTGCAACTCTGAAGCTTCAACACGCAGAAGAGGTATCCAAGCTACGAGTAGAGCTCGAGGAGAGTAAGGCTTCTGGCAACAAATCGGTGGAAGAAGCTGTCAAGGCCGCAGTAACAAAGGAGCGCAACGAGCAATTTTCAAGGGTGCGGAACGTTCTCAACACCAATGCGGAAAAGCACTCAAAAGCAGAGGCGGAACTACGAACCGAGATTGAGAAACTCAAAGCACAGATTGCATCCGGCTCTGCTCCACCTGCCGTCGACGGCACTGCCGAAATCGATGCTCTGAAACAGCAACACGCGCTCGAACTGTCGAAGCTGCAGACGGAGTTGACCGAGATCAAGGCCTCCGTGACCAAGGCTGTTGATGAAGCTGTGAAGTCGGCCCTATCAATAGAGCGCGCCGAGCAAGCGAAGCGACTACAAACAGAGGCAGGTGTTGGCGACTCGGAAGCCATTCAGGTTCAGGCTTCGTCTGTACAGACTGTGGACAATTCTGCCGAGATTCTCGCTTTGAAGCAGCAACATGCAGAGGAGTTGTCAAAGCTACAGAAAGAGCTGGAAGAGGCGAAAGACTCAACAGCTAAAGCGACGGAAGAAGCGGTCAAGTCGGCCATATCGAAAGAGCGCAGTGAGCATGTAACAAGGGTCAAGACTCTCATCAAAACCAAAGTGGATGCAGCAGTGGACGCAGCAAAAGCTGCTACTACTGAAGAGCTGCAAAAGCTACATGCGCCCGAGCTGCAAGCGCTCCATGCCAAGCTGGAATCGTTGGAGAAGGAACATCAAAAACGGCTCGAGCTGAACTCGAACGCTACTAAGACCTGGAAGGACAGCGTAGCAAATCTCCGCAAGTTACTGATTGTCTGTAATGAGCTTCTGGCGCAACACGGGTTACCTGTCCCTCCTGAAATTCAAAAGGAAGCACAGCGCGCCATGGCTCAACAGGCCCAGAGAAACGGGGCCTCTGCGCAGAATGGAACCACAGTCCCACCTACTGCGCCTGTCATTCCAGCTGTTTCCCTCCCGAACGTAGCTCCACCACATCCTGCCAGTCTCCCTGTTCGACCCACGGTCGCCCCACCGACCGTACCAGCTCTGGCGAATCCCGAAGGTCAACAATTAACACCTACCGGTCGATTTTCACGTCCCGGCCGCCCATCAGGTGGGGGCTTGTCGTTCGCTGCAGCTGTAGCTGCTGCTACTCAAAATCAATTTGCAGTTCCCATAGCCTCCGTACAAATCCCGACCTCTGCGAATGGTCCAGGCTCAGGACTAAAACGAGCTCGTGAAGGGGAAGAACCTGAATTGGCGCCTCGAGCCGGTGCAGGTGCAGGCCAGCCAAAACGACAGCGACTCATCAGAAACCGCCCTGCCCACCAGCAGCAACAGCAACAGGAGCAGGAACAGCAGCTGTAATGACAGCTGTAATGGTCATTTTGGCTTTGATGCTTGCGTATTCACTTGAATCATATCATATCTGATACCTGTTAGTATCTCATCTGTCAATCACAATGTATTTATAGTAGCAGCATTATCTGTAGAATATACATCTCGCCGATAGGGTTCGGCTGATCCTGTTCATCTTGATGTGTGCTTCTCGAGGCCGTCTCAGAGTGCACCTCAGTTTGTCAGTCACGACCCCATTCATTGGTCATCGATCGAGGGGATAGGCACTACTGGAGTGTGTTAGACAGTAAGGTGCCTGGTTCCGGCAGGCTGGCCGAAGTTAGACATGACGTCAGTACCCAAGGTCTTGTAATGTCTCCGGAGCGGTCTTTCAGAGAGTCAGGATAACAGTTTAAGCTCATCAAACAAAGAATTTAACAGGCCACCCATAGGGAAAACATTGGGAGTCCAAGGGTGGCACAACCTCCACAACATTCTTCATTTGGCAAGAATTCATGATATTACGCTGCAGGTGTGGATGCTTGAGTGGAGCGCATGCGCGTTGCCGAATGGTAGACGATATAAGTCAACATTCTTACGGAGCACCCTAAACACATCATCCCTAAGAAAACGATGCGCATACAGGCGCCTTACTGGATGCCCTGATAGGCAACGCAGCTCTCCCTAACTTTCTGCCGTTCCTTTTCAGGAACAAGATCGGGCATCACGTCGAACGCCATGGCCATGCCACTTTTCAGATGTACAAGCACATGGCAATGGACTGGGCATGGGTCAGCTGAGCCGATATATACCTGCAGAGGGCATTGGACGTACACAACCACATTCCCGGGCTATCAAATTTCACGCGAAATACCGCGTATGACCGCAGGGGGATGACCATTGTGTCACGCATAGCCGGAGCTGTCGTGGGAAGGGAAGGAGGATAGTTCCAGTTGTACGAGCCCCAGCCATAACGAGCTGAGTTTGCGACATGTAGCGGCCAAAAATGGTGTCCGTGCTGAAGAGCATCAGTGTGTAAATATAATTCCCATGGAGCAACTCACAAGGTGGAAAGGATGAAGACCATCCTCGAGGTTATTGATAATCAAGTCGACAACGACGCTCTCATTCTTGCTCGTCTGGTAGACGTACTCATGTGGGCCCCATCCATCCGGTCGTGGCCGTCCCGTACTCCCCCAGTCCGCCGGCGCTATCTGTGTCATGAGCGGTGCATGTTCATTCGGCCTCCACGACGTGTTGTTGACAAGCCCCCAAGGCAGATGTCCGTTCTGAGGATACTTGACCGTAGTGACATACAGCACAATCGGATCCATTGTTGGTTGCGGTAATACCCGATCACTGGTATGGAGCGGTTGCAATGTGCGCGCATCGAATGTTTCTCCGTCGGTGATGTTCCATTTATATGTCGTTGGATCGGCGGCCACATCGATCGAGCTGTGGGACGGAGAGGTAGGAATGAGACCGCTTAGCATGGAGGTGATAGTGCGGGGTGCAATGTAGTGAATGATTGCCTTCGGTGTGGGGTCAAGAGCAATGTTCGGGTACTTGAAGCAACTTTGGTCCAGGCTATGCCTGAGCCAAAACTTGGCGCCAGCCTCAAGTGGCATGTCACCGACATACCGCAGGATCACTGCATATCGCTGTCCTGGGGCGACTGCTAGCTCCCTGACAGTAACTGGCTCGATGTCGGTCCCGTCGGCTTCGACCACATATAGCTCGTGCTCGTCAACAGAGATGAAGGACTGCGCAAGAGAGCCAGTGTTGATGAACCGCAATTTATACACCTTGTCGACCTGTAGCGCATATGTAGGACGTGTGCCTTTAGAGGCGTCGCAGGTGATCTTGCGGATAGAGCGTGGGCAGTCATACAATTGGATGCCGTTTACAAGGGCATTGTCTGGAACGGGCTGTGAATGATATTAGGGTCTGAGAGAGTATGTGGAGGTGACGTCCACTCACCTCATTACCGCCACTGCCCTTATTCCAGTACCAGTCAAACATGACCTTCCCAGTTCTATGAAACCAGTCTCCAATATGCAATACGATTTCTTCGTCCCACTTGGTTCCATCCGGGCCAGACTGCCGTGCATCTCTCTTTCCTAGCCCCAGCTCTGCACCCACTCTACTCCATCTTGGCTCCTGATGCACTCGGTGACCCTCTGGAGCTGGGGGATGGAGAATGAGAGCGCCAAATAGACCGTCCGCGCGTTGGGTTGCGTGATGCGAATGGTACCAGAAGGTGCCGGACTGTAAGGGGTCGGTGCGGAACTCGTATGTTGTCGTGCCGTTTGGTGGAACAGGGCATTGCGTGAGACCGATAGCACCGTCCTGTGAAACGGTTCCTGGACACGATTGAGGATTAGCTTTAGTGAGAAGGATGTCAGAAGTCACTCACCATCCGGATGCCACAGTCCATGGAAGTGCAAACTTGTTCCCTCGTTCAGTTCATTCTTCAGCCGGATCCTCAGCGTGTCCCCACTGCGCATCTCGATCGTTGGCCCCGGTAGCATGCCGTTGATGGTAAAGACCTGCTTCTTGACGCCGTCCGGCCAGCGTGTCTCTTCGCGGACAACAAAGTCGTAGCTTTGTACCCTTGGAGGCCGGTGTATATGCGCATTTGGATTGAGATAGAAGCGCGCGTTGATGTCGGTTGGAAAGAGGGATAGAGCAGGATGGGTATTTAGGGCGAACAAATTGGGATAGATGAGGAGAATGGTGCTCAACACTGTCAGGATGGGGAGCAGAACTCGCGGGGAAGGTAGCGAAGAGGGCAAGAGGTGAGAGGGCGATCCCTTGGGAACAGCGAGCGTGTCTTGATGGCGGACGACCACCTGGGCACTGGCCTCTCCATCCGCATCCTTGTTCGCCTGGTTCTGCTGCCTCTTGAGTTCAATGGTATCCCCCGGGTCGCCCATGGCCTGCAGCTCGCTGTCACCAAACCGGTGGTCTGCGTTCACGGAGATCTCTCTGAAGCACCTGGTATGTGTCAGTCAAATAACCAAATTGTTGCACGTCAGCGTTCCCCTACCACTTTCGTGAATAATACAGTTATTTCCGAACGCACGCAGAGGAAGGTGTTGCAAGCGAGCGTACATTGCGCATTGCTTAATCCCGACAGCAAGTGGGAATTCGATATTGATGAACACGAGCAACATGAACTTCTTCAACTTTCAGAAGGCGTGTCCAGCATGTCAAGTTCGCACGTGTACGGTTGCCGGATGCGCACCGGGAGCCCAGTCAATGCTTGCCTCTTTCCACCACGTCCTGTCCTTCGATCCCGACGTCAAACGTGTACTTTTGGTGAAATACGTTGGCCAGCATTTGTACTGGGAGCAACGTCCATCTATGGAAACATTCCCGGGAACACCGTTCATCCCCTCCGCAACCGCATGGCCCTGCAAGCCGACATTGGCGATTGAACATGCTAGACCCGAATCCCCCGATCTCTGTGCCATGCCGTGCGGTCTTCCATTGTACGGACGCCGGCTAAGCGCTCTCCTTCACATGGTCCAACACCAGCGCAGCTTGGACACCATTCCGACGGATCTGATTGACTGGTGACAGCAGGACAATGACACATTGTCCGACCCAAAAATACCGTTGATCACGTCGGGACATGCAACTTGATTCGAACAATGCGATCTGGTTATTCCACAAGGCTGTCGGCGTCTGTCCGTGGTTCTTTCGATTGCACCCGGACTCGCTGCTTCCTGAACCATGTCTTCCTCTGCTTTGGCTCACTGCCAGACTTTGAAATGTCCACAAATGCTGGCTGGGTCACTCATCTAGCATGCTGTCCCCGGAACGCTACCCCCATGTGCGCATCCCACGTTCGTTCCGATAAGGCAATGACTCCTGCCAGGTCGACAGATTCAATGTCTTCGGGCTGATTTCTTCTTTGGCCAGATCCCGAAAGGTCTGGTGTCTTGTCTTCATCCTCAGGCTTCTTTCTGGACATCCAACAGTTGTCTCTGTTCCATTCTGTGCTTGACTTGTCATTTTCTTCTGCTGTGCGTGATCCTTTCTCGCGTTGGCCTTCATTTCCGGGATTTTGCAGATATCGCCAGCAAATACCCCGCCGGCAGTACAATCATCAACTCGATGTTGAGCATTGACCAAACCTCAATCGAAGACCTCGTACGGACCGGTGATATTGACGCACATTTGCTGTGTATTCAGTGGTACCATCCGTTCCTGCCGTCAATGTCTTCTGTCCCTGCCGTGCCTACAAAATGCGTTCCATTCCTGGTGTTTCCCAACCTGGCCATGCGGTTTCCAAAGTTGCATAAATATTGGGACAACACGCTGTCTAGCTGGCTCTCAGGCGTGCCCGCTGACCCTTCACTGTTCAGTAGCCTCGCTGTCCATCGTCGCTTGCTGAACCTCAACCCGGCCAGTTCAAGCCCGATATGCTCGCTTTCGCCACCTTTGCCCTCTCACTCATCGGCACTGCCTTTGCCCAGGCTGCCACCAGCCTCGCTGATATCGAGCATGTCGTGTTCTTTATGCAAGAGAACCGCGCCTTCGACCACTATTTCGGCACCCTCTATGGTGTCCGGGGCTTCCAAGACCCCAACGCCCAGATCAACGCTGATGGCAAGTCGGTCTTTTACCAGAAGGTCAATTCCTCGCTCTCCAATGCCACCGATTACCTCTTGCCTTGGTACATTAACTACCAGGGGGGTGACTATCTCAACGGTACTCAGTGTATGGATGGTGGATCGAATAGTTCGTTCCTTTAACCTCGTTATTGTTCTTCCTATCTAATCACCGGCGGGAATTAGGCTTCGAAAACAACCATGCCGCTTATGCCAACGGGACCAATGTGCGTTCTTAGTATTGTTCAGGCTAATATACTTCTTATAACACTATATTCAGGACATGTGGGCTTTGGATAACAACCCTGCTTCGATTGCATATTTCAAGCGTCAGGATCTCCCCATTCATTATGCCATTGCTGATGCCTGGACAATTGGCGACATGTATCAGGAGGCCCAAATGGCGGTACGTGATGGCATTGGCCTATGAAGTTGTCTTGAATATGTCTGCAGTCCACCTGGCCCAACCGTGTTCATTGGGTTCGCGTGTTGCCGCCTGTAATCAAAGGAGGAAAGGTGATGCTGACGACTGGAGTAGATCACCGGAACTGTCAACATTCCGGGGGGTCCGACGAATTCTACTCAGGGTCCTGTACTCGACAATAATGATACTCCGGGGTCCTGCTCTCATTTGACGTTCACGAACTTCATCACTGACAAAACATACGAAACAACGACCAATGTCTCATGCTTTCCCTATGATTGGGTGGTGAGTGAAATTTTATTAAGCATTGCATGGTATACTGAGATTCAAAAAGACCGTACCAGAGATACTGCAAGACTTGGGCGTTTCTTGGTTTGTCTATCAGGCTGATGACAACTTTGGTTGCAATGAGCTTGCCGCATTCAAGACGTTCATCGAAGGTGCTGCCTCGCCATTGAATGACACTGACAACCCCCTTATTGTCAATGGTAAGCTCTGGAACAAATAGATAGTATATCAACTTATACAAGTCGCAAGGCATGACATACTCTTGGTCCGACAATAACGACTGGCAGGGCGGTTTCACCAGGTTCAAGAACGATGCTATGTCCGGCAACCTCCCTCAGGTGTCTTGGGTCATCCGTGCGTTACCTCGATTCTTTGTATCCAAGAGCACATTTACCGATCAAGCACGCAGCCACGACTGAGCTCTCTGAGCATCCTCCTTACACCCCTCGCCAGGGTGCTTGGCTCCAGCAAGAGATCATCAACGCCATTCAGAAGTCACCCATCTACAACAAGACTGTCCTATTCATCTCGTACGATGAGACCGGTGGTTGGGCCGACCATGTTCTTCCCTTCCATTCTCCTGCTGGCACCCCTGGCGAGTGGATCACGGACCCTCTGGCGGGCTTGTCCACCTTCGCCGGCCCTGGTTTCCGTCTTCCCTTCTATGCTATCTCTCCCTACTCTCGTGGTGGAAATGTGTTCACTGAGGTGTCTGACCACAGTGAGCATGTCTTATATCAGAGTGAGAGAGGTTCTGATACAGACATGCAGCCTCCCAGCTCCTCTTCCTTGAGAAGTGGGCAGCTGCTCGCGGCACTCCTTTCACAACCGAGGCTATCTCGTCCTGGCGTCGCACCCACATGTCTGACCTTACCGGCATGTTCGACTTCACGACGGTGAGTCCCGACCACAAGCTGTAGCTTCATGTCTAAGTGGCGATTCCAGTTCAACAGTACCCCCGTCGTCCTTCCCCAGGGCGAGTTGCCTTTCACCGACGGCCTCACCGGTCTCCTGGCTGGCGTGAGCTATTCGTCGCTCATCTCGAAAGGCAGTGTACTCAATTTGTTTCCAGGCGGAATACTGCCAAGCCAAGTACGAGGGCAACGTGAATGCCCATGTACCCTACGGACTCCAGTCGGAAACCGAGGCACTTGCTGTCGAATCCGGCTTCCGTTCTGTCCGTGGTAGTGTCACCGAGGGTCGCTATCTCGTCTTCGAGTCCGCTGGGGTCGCCCTCGCTGCCGCAGATGGGCTTGGCGTCGCCGCGCCGCTTGCGCAGAAGGAGACGGACGCGACGCAGCGGTTTGTGATCCACGCATCCAACCCGCTTGATGCCGACGCCACTGTGTTCTCAATTTCGAGCAACGGCAACTACATCAACGCACAGCTCGAGCTCGACTCGGCCGCCAACGCAGCAGTGTGGAACATCACGTTCAGCGCGTCGACGATGTCGTACAACATCCAGGACACAAACAGCGGCCAGTATCTGTCACTGACATCGGCGAAGCCTGTGCTCGGAAGCACGGCTGCCCCCTTCAAGATCTACTCTGTTACATTCTGAGGAGTGAGTATTTATCAGGAAAATAGAACTTTTGCTATTCAACTGTAACGGTAGAATAGAGTGATGAATTTGTTGTTGTTCAGGTCAAATTCTATGACGTCATTTGCAGTGGCACTGTCGATTTGCCGTTCTTAACGACGAAAGAATGGGCCACATCGCCGACTAACCATCATCTGATAACCCGACTACAGGATCTCAAATGGGTTCAAAACCCACGGTTAACGGACCGCCTATCATCTTCAATTAGTAACTCTGCCGAGATATCTTCTGTCAACAGTCAGAATGTTCGAACGTGTCGTGCCTTCTTGAACTTTGAGTGCTTCCTGCGGACGAGTACTTGCGCACTCCGCGGCAGTTGCACTTCGATTGCTAGATAGAAATGCTGATACCCCGGAGACTGTTAAATAGCCTGATCTCGCGTCCTTTACCTACCTCAACAAGCTCTTGGTATCTGTACTTTTCACTGCGATAGCATCTACGTGCTTGTCTCAGCTACTCCTATGACGACCGCTATTCTGGCTTCCTTCTCGCAGACCCTCGGGCTGAAAGAGCTCCGCGCACTCTGGAACCGACCCGTTCCCGTAGGACATGCGCTCCTCGCTAGTCTCGGGATATACAGCGTGTTTTTTATAGGACGTGATGTGTATAGCTACTATGGTCTATGTATGTCCGATCTACCTGCCGACTTGCCGCTGCTGACCACTCTGATCTTTCTATCAGTGCCTCAGGATATGCGTGGTACAGGCTCGGCCAATCCAAGTGTCTACCTCTTTGCAAGTCTGATCCGAACCTGGAGATGGATCTGGGGTATGGACGGCACGTCCTCCCTCCCTATCCGCAAGTGGGTAGAGAGCAATCGGGTTAGGGAACCGCTCTATGGCCGTACATACCTAGATGAAGCGGCCATTCCGGTTCGGAGAGCTCCGCGACCGAGGCTTCTTCATCAGGGTGTGCCGCATAGGCAAGTACCCCAGATGTTGGACCACAAGCTCGAGCAGGTGTGTGGGATTTCCTTTACAGCCTCCGCAACAGAAACGGCGTCTCTGATCCGTTGGATACAGGAGCTCAAGACCATATTCAAAGAGTTTGGAATCTCCCATTCGCTCCGTATCGGGGAAATCGCCATCGAGCCGAACGCTGTTGCCCTCTTCCTCCCCTCTACCCCACCCTCAAACAACGGGCATGTCCACCCCGAATTCCTCGTTCCCATCACACACCTCGCAAACGCGCACGAGTTCGCGCACGTACATGGAGGCGAGAGCTCCCTGCACCTGTTCCTGGCACCCTTGGATGCGGCACTGGCGATCGAGCGAGGATGGGCGGTGAGGTTCCCCCTTGCCGGGTGTGTGGGGCCATGGGGTCACGCTCGCGGGCGTGTGATGGTTTATGCACCGAGAGACGAGCAAGAGGTCAAAGTGATTATGCGCCTCGTCAAAGCCGGGTACGACTACTTGACCGATGCGCCGAAGAACTGAAGTGGAGAAGGTCGGCCGGGGGGGAGGGTGGCACCGAATATGTTTCACACCCTACTTCGTGGTACTGTCAGCTTGCGGGACGAAAGCACCGAATTTAATCTTCTATAACAGTGGAAAAGTGACAAAGCACGCGAGATATCATACATAAGGCCTATGACCCAGTCCAAGAGCAGAACCGCATACAGCACGTCTACTCAGTATCAAACAAAACGATCTCTGCCCTCCCCTCGCCGACGTTCTCCAGGATCAGCTCGCGCTCAGGTAATCCAGCGATATAAGCTCCATCGCCCTCCCTCAGCTCGAGTTCCTTGCCTTCCCCGCTCAGCTTCACGCGTGCTCCGCTAGAGGATCCATCGTTATACCCGCTAGTCTGGACGACATGCACGTAAACCTTTCTCGTCTTGCCCTGCCCGTCGAGTGGAAGCCGATGCGCAAGGCTGTTTCCCTCAGAGAGAAGAGTAGCGTACATCGTCACCCCGCTCTGTACCGGGGCAGGCCCATCCCCTTCCCTCTTGTCCAGCACTCCCTCAGCCTCAACAGGGGCGACGACCTTCACCCACTTATCCGTCTTCTCCTCGTCTGAGAAGTGACGGGTGAAGTACTTTGGGACCAAGCGGGAGACACGGGGCTTGGCCCAGATCTGGAGGAAGTGAACTGGTGAAG